TCATCCAGTAAAATTCCATTGTGTATGTGCACCTCACTGTTCATCTGCTGAAGGACATCTAGGCTAGCATTAGGTCCCGGCTGTTGTGAATCACTAGTGCTGTAGTAAACACATGGGCAAGTATCTGTGGTGTATTGCCTTTGACTTGAGTCCTTTGAGTATATACTCAGGAGTGGTAGTTCCAATTTTAATTCTCTCTCTCTCGCCGGGCGGTGGTGGCGCACGCCTTTAATCCCAGCACTCGGGAGGCAGAGCCAGGCGGATCTCTGTGAGTTCAAGGCCAGCCTGGACTACCAAGTGAGTTCCAGGACAGGCGCAAAGCTACACAGAGAAACCCTGTCTCGAAAAACCAAAAAAAAAAAAAAAAAAAAAAGTTAATTCTCTCTCTCTCCTTTTGGTATTTTTGAGACAGGGTCCCACTGTGTAGCTCTGGCTGTCCTAGAACTCACTGTCTCCCTAGTGCTGGGGTTAAAGGTGGGCACCACCACACCTGCGTTCATTTTCATTCTTTTGAGAAGCCCTCAGGCTGCATTCCCTGGGGGCTGCAACAGTTTTCGTTCTCACCAATAGTGCCTGAAGATTCCTTTCCCAGCACATCTCTACCATTTTGTTATTGTTGCTGGTTTATTAACTGTGGCCATTCTGACTGTGCAGTGACGCCATCTTGTGACTCAGTGAAGGTGTTGCTGAGAACTAAGGCTCCCTAGGAAACTCAAGCTTGGCCCTTGATTCAGACTTTTGAGATGGTGATAGCTTGGGCCAAGCTATCAGGGTTTGTTGTTGATATATAGGAAGGCTACTAACTTTTGAATTTTTTTTTACCAGTTAGTTTGATGAATGCATTTATCAACTGTAGGAGTTTTCAAGTTTTTAAGGTCTTTCATATAGAATAATACCATTTGATAATAAGGGTACTTCGGGAGTTTGAGAATGTACCCCATTAACTCATGTGTATGAACACTTAATCCCCAGTTGTCAGTGCTATTTGGGGAGGCCTAGGAGGTGTGGCCTGGCTAGAGGAAGTACCTTACAGGGGCCAGGAAGCTTCAAATCATTCCCAGTGCTCGCTCACCCTGCTTTGTGGTTAGGGTTCAAGCCACCATCGCTGCTGGCCGTCCTGTGTCCCCCACTGTGATGGTGACGGGAGTCCACCTTGAACCACAGCCCAGATAAATCCTTTCTTCTATTAGTTGCCTTGCCATGGTGAAGAAGCAGTAGAAAGGTCACCTTGGACTTCTTCCTTCTCTGTTTGTGTCCCCTTTATCTCGTCCACGTGTCTTATTGCTCTAGCTGAGATTTCAAGCGCTGTATTGAACAGAGAGTGGCCTTCCTTGTCTCCTCTGAGTTTAATGGAACTGTTTTGAGTTTTTATCAATTTGGCAAGATGTTGGCTGTGAACTCATTGTCTGTTGCCCGTATTGTGTTGAGATATGACTCCTATGGCCCACTAAGCCATCTCACCTATCCACATAAGGGCTTTACATCGTCTTTCTTTATTGTTTTAACTATAGAGGTCTTTCACATCCTTGATTTGGTTTATTCTTAGGTATTTTATTTTTCTGGGAGCTTTTGTGAATGGCATTTCTCTCTCAGCAAGGCCATTATTGGTATAGAATGGCAACTGATTTCTGTAGGCGGATTTCATATTCTGATGCTTTGCTGAATGTGCGCGTCAGCTCTCACAGTTTTTCTGGTGTAATCTTGAAGGCCTCAGCTTTTCAGTATAGGATCATGTTTGCTGCAAATACACATGCTTTGATGCCTTCCTTTCGTGTTTGAGTCCCTTTTATTTCTTTCTCTTTTATTACCGTAGCCATGACGTCCTCACTATGCTGAGCAGGAGCAGTGAGAGCTGGCGCGCTTGCCCTCTTCCTGACCAGGACTCTGAAGTGCTGACTTTTCCTGTGTTGCTGACCTTCTTAACTTGTCATTTTTACTGATTTCAGTTGCTTTGAACCCAGTAGTTGAAGAGTTACGGTCTTTTGGAGGAGCCACGTTGCCCCTCATTTCTCTTGTTTCTTGTGATTCCGTATTGTGATTTGTACATCTGTTGTTTGGATGTTTTTCCAGTTTATTTGGGGACTTCTCATTAAGTAGCCTATTCTTGAGGACTTACTTCCCAGGACCACTCAGTTATAACAGGAACAGCATACACCACACAAGACAGAAATACACTTCAATCTACGAACAGATCACCAGGGATGATGAGCCGAAAGTGGGAAAACTAATGCAGGTGATTTGAGGGAAGCTCTTCTGCTTCAGCCCCCATCAGGGACTCCATAGTTGGAGCCACAGTCAGCTTGATACCTTTCTTTGTTTGGTTTTTCCAGACAGAGTTTCTCTGTTTAACAGCCCTGGCTGTCCTGGAACTTACTCTGTAGACCAGGCTGTCCTCGAACTCAGATCCACCTGCCTCTGCCTCCTGAGTGCTGGGATTAAAGGCGTGCGCCACCACTGCTTGACCAGCTTGACACCTTTCAGTGAGCCCTTCATCTTTTGCCCACATCTCTTTCTGAGTTTCTGACACTTTCTTTCTCTCTTTGAAATAGTCTATTCCCCCCCCCCCCCCCCCCCCCGCCCTTTTATTGAGACAGAATTTCTTGTAGCCCAGATTAGCCTTGACCTCACTATGTATCTGAGGATGACCTTGAACTCCTGATCCTCCTGCTTCTACCTCCCAACTGTTATCATCACAGGTGTGTACCACCACCGTCCAGCTGGGGTCTGTTTTTCTTATTCTCCATCTTCTCCTTCACCAAACCACACAGAGACTAGTCTGCTGTCTTACCCAGAAGCCCCTTTTTACTTTTGATAATGAATGAACACTTCAGCCATGATAAGAACTACTCTTTGGCCCTTGACCTTTGGAGCTGCTGGAGGTATCAGTGTCAGCCAGCGACTGACTCCAGAAGCACCTCACACAACTTCTAATTTAACTGTGAGTGGGAAGAAGTTCCAGCACTTAGCAGAGTCTGTGGGAGCTGTACTTCCTCACCACCCACCAGGTCCTAATTACCAGTCCCACGTGTGTGCCTGGCAGTGTCCAGGATCTACAGCAGTGGATAAAATAGGCCCAGCCCTCCTTTACAAAGGAACCACAATTATTCAATGAGGGAGAGAAAATAATTTTTAAAAAAGATAAAAAATATATTTATGTATGTATGTGTGTGTGTTTGTGTGTGTGTGTGTGTGTGTGTGTGTGTGTGTGTGTGTGTGTGTGTGTGTGTGTATGGAATCCTTAGAGACCAGAGGAGGAAGTCAGATCCCCCTGAGTTGGAGTTACAGGCAGTTGTGAATCACCTGTCATGGGTGTCGGAAACCAAACTCAGGTCCTTCGCAAAAGCAGCAGGAACAGTTACGTGACCTTAACCACTGAACCACCTCTCCAGACCCAGGAATCAGTTCTTGATTAGACCTACTGTTGATATTTAATGGTGAATGGTCAGTTTTTTGGGAGCTCAAAAATTTACCGGATGTGTTAGTACACCCCTGTGATCCCAGCACTTGGGAGGTAGAGACAGGAGGATTGTGAGTTTGGGGCTAGTTTGGATTACACACTGAGATCCTGTCTCAAGCAACAGAACAACCAGAGAATCTGTATTGAGGGGATTAGGTAACAGAATAGGATTATTGGAATGGGATATGTTCATGATTTCAAATTTTGTTTCTGTTTAAAAAAAATTCCCAAATAATAAGGCAGATTTATAACTAAGGCCAAGTTGTATTTCAATCTCCCTCTAAATAATAGAACAATTAATTAATGACTAATTGATTTACATTTTTTTTTAAATGAATGAGTGTGGTCACATGTGTGCCAGATGTTGGGAGACAGCTTGAGAACTCAGTTCACTCCCTCCACCCTGTGGATCCCAGGGCTGGAACTCAAGTCATCGAGCTTGATGGCAAGTGTCTCTGCCTGTTCAGCCATCTTGCCAGCCCCAAGTTACTCTTTGGATAATGATTTTGATTGACATTCTGACTCTCTGGTCCCTTTTGACTGTCACCGAGCTTGGGTGTCAGCTGGAGGCACTGACATGGCAGCTGCTGAGTCTGTGAATCCACCTTACAAAATTAGACCAGGGCTTTGGGATTCATCAGGTGTGCTGGATGCCAGGAGTGACCCCAACTCCTGAGCCTCCTCTAAGTCAGCAGTATTTGGGGGTGCTCCTGAACTCTGCATTTCATCAAGCATAAATATGATGAGGGCAATCTGTTGGTCAAACATTGGATGGTGGTATGTAGGTCTATGTGCATGCGTGTGGGGCTGATTTGCCACTGGGTGCATTTGCCCATACATGCATGTGTAGAGGATGTTCTCATTGGCTGCTCTCCATCTTGTTTTTTTGAGACAGTTTCTCACTAAACATGGAGCTCCCCATGTAAGCTAGACTGGCTGGCCAGCAAGGCCCTGGAAGCTATTTGTCTCCACATATCTGGTGCTAAGGCCTGGCTTTTACATGGGTTCTGGGGGATCCAAACTTAGGTCCTTATTCTTGGATTTAGAGCCTTGTACATACTAATCAAGCACTGTACCAGCTAGTACTACTCCCCGACCTGAAAGTGTGTGTGTTTGTGTTTGTGTGTGTGTGTTACATGAAAGCATGATTGCCTGTGAAGCCAGAAGAGGGCATTGGATGCCCTGGAGCTGGAGTTACAGGTAGTTGTGAGCTGCCAGCATGGGTGCTGATACTGAACTGGGGTCCTCTGGAAGAGCATCAAGCGTCCTTAAGCTCTTTGCATCCTCTCCAACTCCCTACCCCAGGTTTGCCTTTGTTCTCACAGCAGCCCTAATATGTTTTACTCTCCACCTTGCCACTGGCCACTGTGACTCCCTGTCCATGGCTCTCATAAGGACTAAGTGGAATTGAGCACATGGAAGCTTTCTGGGCAGTGCCTGGCATTCAGGAGTTGGGGTCAAGTATGGTTGTGTTTGTATAAAATGAAAAATGTGCTTCTGGTAACCGCTGCATGCCTCTGCTCTTGGTCCCTTTGTCATCAAGGCATGAAGTACTTCAAGTGTGACCACCAGATGTCTGTGTTCCTGTACATCGCATCCCTGCAAAATAACTGTTCCATCAGTGCCTACCCCTGCGACTCCTATCGGGATTATAGGAATGGCAAGTGTGTCAGCTGTGGTGTTGGACAAACAGTGCCCTGTCCCCTCCTGGGTAAGTCCCACAATTCCCATCTCTGATGGACAGTTAAGTTTTGTACATATCCTAGAGTCGTTTTACTCTCTAAGAAATTGCCTCAGTTTGTATTTATTAAATATATAGTCAGCTCTATTTATTATTTGAGATAGGGCCTTGCTATATAGCTTAGGCTGGTTTGAGCTTACTCTGTAGCCCAAGATGGCCTTGAACTTGAGACCTTCTTGCCACAGCCTCTACAGTAGCAAGTATTACAAGAGTGTACTACCACACCAAACATTATAGCCAACTTCTCAGGGGTGATTTGTTTTCTGAACTACTCTTGAATGATAAAGGGTGTTAGATTAGGACAGGGCAGCTCAGCAGGAAGGGTTGAGAGTTTGAGACTAGGCCAGGCTACATAGAGAGACCCTCTTTTTCAAAAACAACATTAAATACACACACACACACACACACACACACACACACACACACACACACACACACCCCCAAAGCCAAAGCAAACAAGTTAGCACGTACCCAGTGTGAGAACAACAACCTCCATTGGGTTCCACGTGGAGGTTGTTGCGCGCCCCCTATACTTACTATTCTGTCATAGAGAAGAGATGCTAGAGGGTTTGTAAGCCTCCCCAGGCTTTGCACAGCCTGCCCCACTCTGTGCACACACCTCTGCTGCAGGAGGTTCACAGTGAGCTAGGGGCCCAGCCCAGGGCTGAGCCTTGCAGAGTGATCCCTTTCAACAGGTTGGGTCTATAAATGCTTCCTCTCTGCACTCTGGCTCCTGTGTCCACATGCAGGGCTTGGGTGGGGAAAAGATACTGGAGACTGCTGGGATATTTGCCAGAGTTAGAGGAAATATTCCAGGTGGTCAGGACTTCAAGACTGGTTGGCTAGGAGCATTTTTCCTGACAGACAGGAAGAGGCCCCACAGGGCAGCATTCAAGCTTGTCTCTCAGAGGCATTCACCTGCGGGGAGACATTCATCTGGCTCAGCAACACGGTTACACACCAAGCCATGTCCTGTATACTTTAGTGGCCTTAGTTGTTTAGCTCTTCAAGAAAGCCATGGGGCCAGGTAGCTTACAACAGGCCTATAATCCCCGGTATTTGGCATGCTGAGGCAGGAGGATCTTGAGTTCAAGGCCCTGTCTCCAAAACAATATTTAAAAAAAACCACAGTGGGTTCAAGGACAGCCTGAGTAACTTAGAAAGGCTCTGTATCAAAATAAAAAGCAAAACAAAAGGGCTGTGGGTAGAGCTTGGTGGTAGACTGCCTACCTAGCATGCTCAAGGCCCTGAAATGATTTCTAGCACTGTGTGTGTGTGTGTGTGTGTGTGTGTGTGTGTGTGTGTGTGTGTGTGTGTGTGTGTGTATTGCTTAGCGTAAAGAGTGAATACTTTGCATGCATGAGGCCCTGGGCCCTATCTTCAGAACGAAACAAACAAGACTCCATTGTTTTGCAATAGCAATTAGTGATGCTGTTTTAAGTATGAGTCCCAATCTGGCTTAATGTTGAAAATGAATGAATGACTGAAAACTATCCATGTGACATGTGTGTGCCACTCCCTGCCGAGCTACTGAGCACCAGTAAGGGAGAGGTCCCAGTAGGGTCCTTCTGCACTTCAGTCCTTATGATGGGGACAGAAACCTCATCCAACTACTGAGGGATCTGGATGCAGAGATCCATGACTAGGCCCTGGGTGGATCTCTGGGAGTCCAATCAATGAGAATGAGGAGGGTTTATATGAGCGAGAATTGTTGAGACCAAGGTTGGATAAAGCACAGGGACAAATAGCCAAATGAATGGAAACACATGAACTATGAACCAATGGCTGAGGGGTCCACACTGGATCAGGCCCTCCGAATGGGTGAGACAGTTGATTGGCTTGATCTGTTTGGGAGGCATCCAGGCAGTGGGACCAGATCTTGTGCTCATTGCATGAGTTGGCTGTTTGAAACCTGGGGCCTATGCAGGATTGTTTGGCTTGGCCTGGGAGGAGGGGACTAGACCTACCTGGACTGAGTCTACCAGGTTGACCTCAGTCTGTGGGGAAGGCTTTGCCCTGGAGGAGATGGGAATGGGGGGGGGGGGGCGTTGGGGGGAAGGTGAGGGGGACGGGAGGGGGGAGAACAAGGAAATCCATGACCGATATGTAGAACTGAATTGTATTGCAAAATAAATTAAAATAAATTTAAAAAAAAAAAAAAAAAAGAAAAAAAAAAAAAAAAAAAAAAAAGAGCATTGACATGATGTTCCTGGTGGCCTTTCTCATCCTCACAGTAGGGGCTGGAGATGGAGTGGGAGAGAGTTGTTGCAAACTTACTGCTCTCACGCCCTCTGTGGCTTTGATGTTTATGTAATACGTGTTGGTGTTTCTGACTTGTTTTGTAGGCTACTATGCCGACAATTGGAAAGACTATTTACTGGACAAAGACCCTCCGATGACGAAGGCATTCTTCGACACAGCTGAGGAAAAACCGTTCTGCAGTGAGTGGTGAATGGGTGTTGGCTGTTCTGTCTGACCCTGGCATTTTGGGGGAGGACAGAGTCTCTGATTTCTGGATGCTTCCTGGAAAATGAGGACAGTGGTAGCTAGAGCTTGGTGTTTGGAGCCAAGAGGGTGTAAGACCAACACAGCTTCTGTCCTAACAGTTGTGTGACCTTGGTCAAGTTTTTTTTCTCCTCTCTGAGTGTCCTGGGCTGTTTGGTAAATAGAGCCAATCATGCAGCTCTTCTAGGTTATTGGGACTGAAGTGAGACTGAGTCACAGTACCCCCCGCACCCCGGGACAGTCACTGTCATCATTGACCTCCTCTGGGAAATTGTTTTTGAAGAGACATGAAGTTGGGGTCGGGAACAAACAGGTGGATGCCACATGACTCAGTGCTGTTCTATACTGGGCTTCTTGAACCTACCACTCACAGGCCCTTGGCCTGTGAACAGTTTTTCTTTTCTTTTAAATAATATTTTTTATTTTAATTTATTTTAGCTGTCTCTTCCTGTATTCCCTCAATGACCCCCTCTCCATTCCTCTTCCCCACTTGATCCTCCCATTCCAGCCCCCCCATCCATATCTATCTATTCTGTTTCCCTGTCCTAATGAGATCTATCTGTTCCCTCTAATCCCTTCCTCTATGTCTACCCTCTATGGTTCTATGGACAATAGCTTGGTTATCATTGACTTAACAGCTAATATCCACATATAAGTCAATACATACCATATTTGTCTTTCCGGGTCTGGGTTACCTCTCTTAGGATGATTTTTTTTCTAGCTCCAGCCATTTGCTTGCAAATTTTATGATGTCACTTTGTTTTAACAGCTGAGTAATACTCCATTGTGCAAAAAGTACCGCATTTTCGTTATCCATTCTTCTGTTGAGAAACATCCAGGTTGTTTCCAGTTTCTGGCTATTATTAATAGAGGAGCAACGAACATGGTTGAGCAAGTGTCTCTGTGGTAGAATGAAGCATCCTTTGGGTATATGCCCAAGAGTGGTAAAGATGGACCTTGAGGTAGATCAATTCCGATCTTCCTGAGGAACTGACACACTGATTTCCATAGTGGCTGTACAAGTCTGCACTCCCACCAGCAGTGGAGGAGTGCTCTTACTCCACATCCTCTCTGTTTTGTCGATCTTAGTCATTCTGACAGGTGTAGGTGGGAGATGGTATCTCAGAGTCATTTTGATTTGCATTTCTCTGAGGACTAAGGATGTTGAACATTTTTGAAAGTGTTTTTCAGGCATTTGAGTTTTTCTATTGAGAATTCTCTGCTTAGATCTGTAACCCATTTTTTAATTGGGTTATTTTTTCTTGATATCTAGTTTCTTAAGTTATTTAAATATTTTGGATATTAACCCTCTATTGGATATGTAGTTGGTAAAAATCTATTCCCATTCTGTAGGTTGCCACTTTGTCCAAATGACAGGGTCCTTTGCCTTACAGAAGCTTTTTAGTTTCATGATCCCTTTTATTAGTTGTTGATCTTAGTGCCTGCCCTACTGGTGTTCTGTTCAGAAAGCCTTTTCCTGTTCAAGGATACCCCCTCTTTTCTCTTCTATCAGGTTCGGTGTATTTGGTTTTATGTTGAGGTCTTTGATCCATTTGTAGCTGAGTTTTCTGCAGGGTGATAAGTGTGGATCTGTTTGGATTCTTGTACATGCAATCATCCAGTTTGATCAGCACACTTGTTGAAGATGCTGTCATTTTTCCAGCGTGTATTTCTGACTTCTTTATCAAAAATCAGGTGTCCATAGGTGTGTAGATTCACGTCTGGGTCTTCAGTTCAATTCCATTGGTCAACGTGTCTGCTTTTGTGCCAATACCCGCTGTTTTTGTTGCCATAGCTTTGTAGTACAACTTGAAATTAAGGACGGTGAGACCTCCAGCTCTTTATCATTCAGATTTTAGCTATCCTGGGTTTTTTTGTTTTGTTTTGTTTTTTGAGACAGGGTTTCTCTGTGTAGCCCTGGCTGTCCTGAAACTCTCTTTGTGATCCAGGCTGGCCTAGAACCCAGGGATCCTCCTGCCTCTGCCTCCTAAGTGCTGGGATTGAAGGCATGTGCCATCATGTCCAATTCCTATCCTATTTTTTCTGTGTTTCCATACAACACTGAAAATTGTCCTTTCAAGGTCTGTAAAGAATTGTGTGGGAATTTTGATGGGGATTTCATTGAATCTGTAGATGATTTTTAGTAGGAATGCCATTTTTACTATGTTAATCCTATCAATCCATGAGCATGGGAGACCTTTCCATCTTCTGGTGTCTTCTTCAGTTTCTTTCTTCAGTGACTTGAAGATTTTACCATACACATCTTTTACTTGCTTGGTTAGCAGGTGTTCTGCTAGAGATCTGGGGATGAGACTGGGGGATTGGACACATAGGCATGGAGGGAGAGATGAAGATCTGCAGTTAGCCTACATGCTTCCTAGGCAGGAGTGGCCTGTGGCTTCCCAGGGAGTCAGTCTGTGAACATTTCAAACATCCCCAGATATATAGATGTGTAAAACTGATATAGAGGGCTAGAGAGATGACTCAGCCATTAAAGGCTAGGCTCACAACAAAAAATATAAAACTGATACAGAAACGAAATATTTGCTGATAATAAATCATAAAGAAGTTTGTTTTAAAATCATTATTTGGAATATATGTATAATTTTATCATTTATTAAATACAAAAGCAAATTTGTATTCTGATGAGATAGATATGCCTGCTCACTTTCCATAAGGAGCTAACTCTTCTGATGAGATAGATATGCCTGCTCACTTTCCATAAGGAGCTAACTCTTGGCTAAATATCTACTACTACTTCATATAGGGCACCATTGGTGTCTCACAGACTTCATCAGCATTCTAATTTTATAGTAATCAGTGAGAATGTGGCTTTGCATGAATAAGCAGAACAGGATGGCAGAAGGTGTGTCAGAAATTGTTGGGAATTCTGTTCTTATCCCAAGTCAGAACTCTTTTAATGTTTTTTTAAAAATTTATTTATTTATTTATTTTATGTGGATGAGTATTTTGCCTGCATGTGTCTCTGTGTACCATGTGCCTGGTGCCTGCAGATGCCAAAAGAGGGTTCTAGATCCCTTGAAACTAGAGACATTTGTGAGTCACCATGTGGGTGCTAGGAACTGAACCCTGGCCCTTTGGAAAAGCAGCCAGTGCACTTAACTTCTGAGCCATCGCTCCAGTCCTTTTGTTTTTAATGATGTTTGTGCACACGCGTGTGTGGCGTGTGTGTGTGTGTGTGTGTGTGTGTGTGTGTGTCCGTCCATGTGTGCGCATGTGTATGTGTCCCGGAACAGCCTGTGAGTGGAGGTTAGAGGACAGTTTGCAGGAATCCATTCAAGGTCAAATTAGGTTGTCAGAACTGGCAGCAAGTGCCTTTCCAGGGAGCCATCTTGCCAGCCTCCGACAGTGATTTTTAAAACCACACATTTTGACATAGTACAATCTAAAGCTATCCCAATGTGGTACTGACATACTGAGAAATAATGGTGGGAAAATGTTAAAATTTTCCATAATTCGATCACTGTCTTCAAGAGCAACCCTACACAAAATGATAGTAAGTTCACTTAAAACATCAGGAGACTATTTTGTGGGTTCCTTCCTTCGTTCCTTCTTTCTTTCTTCCTTCCTTCCTTCCTTCCTTCTTTCTTTCTTTCTTCCTTCCTTCCTTCCTTCCTTCCTTCCTTCCTTCCTTTCTTTCTTTCTTTCTTTCTTTCTCTCTTTCTTTCTTTCTTTCTTTCTTCCTCTTCATCTTTTTTCTGGTAACTGGATTATAAGGTTCTCTAGCATGAACTTTGTGAATGAGTCAAAGGGTTGAACATGCCTCCAGCCTATGAGGCAGGCATCCACGATCCCTGCACATGGTCACCGGAGAGCTCTGAACTCCACTGTCACTCACACTGTCTGTACCAAAGAGAAGAGCAGAAAAAGTAGAGAAAGGTCTGCCGCCCATAGCCCAGCATGGTGGCACACACCTGTACATCATCCTCACCTACATACTGAGTTTGAAGGACCTGGACTCAAAAAACAACATTAAAGACCAGAGAAAATGCCTCTCTGAGTCTTTGCAGAGAAACAATAGAAGGAGAAAAAGGGGATCTTGGCTTTTCAGACCCTACCGGGAGCACTGGGGTACCTCTCTTATTAGCCTCTCTCCCTGTTTTATAGTGTACCATTACTTTGTGGACATTGTATCTTGGAACAAAAACATAAGAAGAGGGTTCATCACAATCAAACTGAGAGGCGAAGATGGAAATGTCACAGAATCCAAAATTGATCAGTAAGTTGAGCTACAAGCTGCGTCTGCTCATTGGAATGTTCTTCTCACTCAGCAGCCATTCTTGGTGCTAGCAAAGGCGAAGGGACTGGCATTCTTGAGCTTGCCCCGCCTCTTGCTGCCTTGGTGGCTTTCTTCCCCTCCTCCTCCTCCATGTCTCCCCTCCCGCCCCTCTCTTTCCTCATTTGCGCACCCTCTCTGTGTGTCTTACTTGCTTGTTTTCATTTTTCTTCCTTCTCTTTTTATTTCAGCAATTAGATGGTTAGAATAAAAAAAAAATCCGTGCCTTCTGTGAAATCCAAGCCATGAAGGATGGTGCTGATTTAGCTGTGTTGGTGGAACACACCTGTAATCACAGCACTTGGAAGGCAGGGCCAGGAGGACTGTGGCAAGTGTGAGGCTAGCCTGGTCTATCCTGGGGGTGTAAATCCAGCTGGGCTTATATAGTAAGACCTGTCTCAAAACCCAAAATGGGCTGGAGCAATGCTCAACAGTCAAAAGTACTGGCTGCTCTTCCAGAGGACCCAGGTTCAGTTCCCAGCTCCCACGCAGTGGCTCACAACCATCTATAACTCCAGGTCCAGAGCATCCGATGCCCTCTTCTGTCTTCCACAGGTGTCAGGCATGTATAAGTGGTACACAGACAGACATGCAGACAAACACCACATACACATAAACAGCTATAATAACAGCACCCCCAAAAGAAATGTGCAGACTTAAGCATTTCACTTTGTGTGTGTGTGTGTATCTGAGAACTTTCATCATACTCCATAAATGCATATAATTTTGACTTGTAATACAAATAATATTCATTTAAAACATAGAGGAATATACAACATAAAATGCAGGTCTGTGCTAAGGAGTTCTTGATAGATTCTGTTTTTCTTTTCTTTTTTTAAGATTTATGTATGTATGTATGTATGTATGTATGTATGTATGCCTTCTTGCCAGAAGAGGGCACCAGGTATCATTACAGATGGTTGTGAGCCACCATGTGGTTGCTGGAAATTGAACTCAGGATCTCTGGAAGAGCAGCCAATGTTCTTAACTGCCAAGCCATCTCTCCAGCCTCCCAGATTCTATTTTTCAAATGTCTTCATTTTTTGGAAAAAAAAAAAAACCCACATTTTATTTAACGGTTCTTGGGCAAGTGGTCCTGTGTTGCCTAAGAAAGCAGGTTGAGCAAGCCGTGGAGAGCAAGCCAGTGAGCAGTGTTCCTCCACCGCCTCCGCCTGCCTCTCTTCCTGCCTTGCTAGAGTCCCTGCCTTGCGTTCCCTCAGTGATGGACTGTGACCAGGTGTGTAGGCTGAATGAACTCTCTCTTCCCAAGTTGTCTTTGGTCACTTCTATTACGGCAACAGGGAGCAAACTAGGGACGTGCCTGTGTAAATGCATCTTGCATTGAGAATAGTAATTTGGGGTTATTGAATCAAGTGTGTGGCACACATTGCCTAAGGGGTTTCTACACTAGACCCTGTGAGATGCTAATACCATGTACTCTACATGTGAAGAAACTGAGGCTAGAGAGCTGAGTGGTTTGGTCAGTGCCACACACCTAGTCAGTGTGAGTGTGGCAGGAGCAGCGGGTCTGTCCACCAAGTACCCCCATCACTCTGTGACTGTGTCTGCTCCTCCCACTGAGCTACTGTACCGCCCTCCACCCCCAACCCTCACCTCCCCACCACCCCACCACCACCCTCACCTCCCCACCACCCCACCACCACCCTCACCTCCCCACCCCCACCACCCCCACCACCCCCACCCTTGCCACCTCCTTGCACTTGAACTTTGAGAGTGGTGGCGTTTTTCAGGGTTCCTCACTGATTTGTTTCAGATCTGATATGCCCGTGCCCACAGCAGGTTAGTGTTTTCTGGAAGGGCAGCAGCAGGGAGGGCATCATGAGAAACCAGCCTCAGGTGGTACATGGGCTGTGGGTTGTAGCTAGAGTTTTCCTGCCTGGCCCACAGTCAGGACAAATCTCTCTCACCCGCCAGTCCCACAGCCGCTCAAACCCGACCAAGTAAACACAGAGACTTATACTGGTTACAAACTGTATGGCCGTGGCAGGCTTCTTACTAACTGTTCTTATATCTTAAACTAATCCATTTCTATAAATCTATACCTTGCCACGTAGCTTGTGGCTTACCGGCATCTTCACATGCTGCTTGTCCTGGTGGCGGCTGGCAGTGACTCCCTTTCCCTTCCTGTTCTTTCTTTTCTCCTCTCTGTTAGCCCTGCCTATACTTCCTGCCTGGCCACTGGCCAATCAGTGTTTTATTTATTGACCAATCAGAGTAATTTGACATACAGACCATCCCACAGCAGTGGGTTAAGTGGAGGGAACCGGCACAGATCTGGCCTGGAATCCAGACTTTCAGAATACGCAGCACCTAAGGGGTCTGGAGGACACTGTGCGTCATACCCGGGAGCAGGCAGGGCAGGGCTCTGACCCAATTCAGGTGTTCATGCAGGCAACTGCTTTTGTGTTTCCTTTGCGTACATCTGAGAACTTTTAGTTTTACTAAGTGAATCTCGATCAAGTGTGAATCCCTAAATTTGAATTTTGAAATATCTTTTTGTTTGGGCCTCATGTAATCCAGGCTGATCTTGAACTCACTGAGTAGTCCAGACTGGTCTTACCTTCTTGCCTTCACTTTTTTAAAAAATAATTTATTTATTTTTATTTCATGTGCACTGGTGTTTTGCCTGCATGGATGTCTGTGTGAGGGTGTCAGATCCCCTGGAACTGGAGTTACAGATGGTTGTGAGCTGCCATGTGGGTGCTGGGAATTGAACCCTGGTCCTCTGGAAGAGCAGCCGGTGCTCTTAACCACTGAGCCACCGCTCCAGCCCTTGCTTTCATTTCTTGATTAAGATCAAGGCCTTGGACCAGTGAGTTGGCTCAGTGGGCAAAGTGGGCTGAGCCCAACAACCTGTCATGTGGAAAGAGAAAGCCGACTCCCCACAAGTGGTCCTCCGACCCACACTGTGCCATGCATGTGTGCACTTGGACACAGAGATAGAGAGGGTGGGAAGAAAGAAAGAAAAAGAAAGGAAGGAAGGAAGGAAGGAAGGAAGGAAGGAAGGAAGGAAGGGAGAGAGAGAGAGAGAGAGAGAGAGAGGGAGAGAGGGAGGAAGGAAGGAAGGAAGGAAGGAAGGGAGAGAGAGAAAGAAAGAAGGAAAGAAAGAAAGAAAGAAAGAAAGAAAGAAAAGAAAGAAGAGAAATTAAGGAAGAAGGATGATAGATAGATAGATGATAGACTATAAATATAACTGAAAACAACTGTCTGTTAAGAGCTAGACTTTAAGAAAGAGAAAAGACAAACACAAAAACACAAGAAGGTAACTTTTATTGTGGACTATGGGGGTCCAGCCCCTCAATAGTCCCCTCCCAGGGTCCGGGAAGAATCTACAACCAGCTGATAATTAATCTTTGATGAGAAGAAATGAATCTATGTACACGAAATTCCTTAGTCCAATACATTTTATTATTCTGTCAGTTTTCTCTCTACAAGCTTATACTCTGCTCTCATTTTTAGCTCCTTTCTTGCCCAATTTCTCTTTATATTTATCTGCGGTTCCCTCCAGGTTCGATCTTAATTCTTTTATCTAGTTCTGTCCCTTCTAGGTTCTCATCTGTCTAGTTCTTTCCCCTACCAGTTCCTCTCCCGTCTCCTCTCTCAGCTGGCTCTTCCTCATCTTGTTCTTCCCCATCTGGCTCTTCCTCATCTTCCATCTCGTTCCTCTAGTACTCTCTTCTAGCCCTTCAATCTAATTTTTCCCCATCTCAGTTTGTTCCTCTCAAGTTCTTACCCATCTAGTTCTTCCATTCTCATTTCTCTTCTCTGTCCTCCAGTGCCCTGGAAGTCCTGGTAGATATACACTTACAAGCAGTATTCCCTTAGCAGTGCAAAGCCAGGCTTCCAGGGTCAAACGGAGGGGTGATAAGAATCACATAGAGAGGCAATAACTGTTAATTATCATTTGCAGCCCCAAAGGGAAGTGACCAATGGGGAAATGAATTAACTAAAGGCTACGTTCGGGTAATATCTAAGATATCTTATGTGCTCAACTACAGTCTTAAACGTGATTAGTAGAAAATGTTAAGAATCTATAAGTTGCTAGGTCAATGGGAGAAAATAAAACTGCCTTCTTTTTTCCTGTGGCTCCTATCTGTCCAAGCTATCTGCTGTTTTTCTGCAGGGTGGGGGAAAGTGTACTTGGTCACTAGGCAACCTGTGTACAGGTGGATGCCTCTGGTGATAGTTAAAGGGAGATTTGGAACTAGAGGTAAGGTTTGGGAAAGGAGGAAGTTAAGCTTAATTGGCATATCCACCAGACTTTCTCAAATAGGTAATCTGGACACTTAAGTCTGTTCTTAGAGAGTACAGAGGTATCTCTGATAAAGTACTTTCCTCCATCTGGGGATGGACCTGGTCGGATGCTGCCAATGATGATAATTACAGGGAGGCTTGAACTGGGGTTCTGGCTGTGCATAGCTGTCAGTGCACAAGGTTATCTAACTATTCCTTTAGTAGAGGGGAAATGGTACCCAATAAATGATGGAAAAGCTACAATAGCACACAAGAAACTCATAGCAGGAAACAGCTGATAATCAAAAGCCAAATATCACCAAGGCTCCTTGAACCTTAGCTTCACCTCTGGAAGGCCCTTGGCTACTTCCAGGTATTAGCTTTGTCATAATCAGCTGAAATCCTATTTTGTATATTTTTGCGGCTTGCAGCAAACTTTAGCTGGGTCTCATGGTAAGACCTGTAGTTCTTGGAAAGTTGGGCTGGAGGATTGCAAATTCAAGGACTATTTAAGCCACGGAAGGATAGGCTGGACACGTTAGTAAAATCCTGCCCCAAAGATCGAAGTACAAGGCAGACTTGGGAGACTGCTCAGTGGCAGACAGCTTGCATGACGGCACTAAGGATCTGTGCTCCAGTCCTGGGAGAAATGGGAAGGCAGAGAAAACTGAAGCCTTAATGTCCTTAATGCTGCTTTCACATTCCATTTTTTTTTAATGGTTAAAGTAACATGTATTTACTTAGCCTCTGGGCTCAATTTAGATGATCCCAATTTTGTTGGTGACATCCAACGTGTCATAATCTGAAACCCCAGTGATGCTCAGGCATCTCTCTCTGTGGCGGCCCAGCACTGTTCTTAATCCCCTAGGAAACTGGGAAAGGAAGCCATAGATAACTCACAAGCACCCTGGGTTTGGGGCAGTAGGCTGGCTCCAGACATACACTGGAATCACATCTAAGGCTTCACGGAGTGTGGCAGGGCTGGAAGAACTCGGAACTGGGTTTCATCACTGCACCGCTGCATGTAAGATCTACCACGTGGAGAGCCTGGACTCCACAAGCAGCTGTGGGGATGTGTGCGAGATTCCGACAGCATCTCGAACACAGCAGACAGTCACAGTAGCACACTTCCCCAATGTCACTTGGGAGGTCAGTAGCTTCATTTAGGCATTCCTACAGACTCAGGGGCCTTTGCTCATGAAAGTCAGCTTGTGTAGGCAAGGGGACCAAAGGGTCACCTGCTAGGCAGACTTGGAGGGTGGAAGCAGCTTTCACTCATTAGCAATCTATATTCATTTTAAAGTGCCATTTCTCCCTTCCAGCGAACCATCAACATTTCAGAAATACCATCAAGTGAGTCTACTTGCAAGATTTAATCAAGACCTGGATAAAGTGGCAGAAATTTCCTTGTTGTTCTCCACAGGGTCTGTAGTAGGTCCAAAGTACAAGCTCAGGGTCCTGCGAATGAAGCTGAGGTCCCTGACCCATCCAGACAGGTGAGCCACAGGCAGGTTTGACAAGCTCCTGTTACCTCCCTCCCTCCTTCCCTCCCTCTCTCCCTCCCTCCCTTCCTTCCATTCTTTCTGAGACAGGGTCTTATGATGTAGCCCAGGCTGGCCTCAAACATGTGGCAATTCTCCTGCCTCAGTCTTCAAAATGATGAATTTCTTTTACTGAAAAATTTAGGGTACTGTGCCAGACAATGGTGGCACACACCTTTAATCCCAGCACTTGAGAGGCAGAGGCAGGCAGATCTCTGTGAGTTCAAGGCCAGCCTGGTCTACAAAGTGAGTTCCAGAACAGCCAAGACTGTTAGACAGAGAAACCCTGTCTTAAAAAACAAACAGAAAAATGGTGAGTGTACTGCAAAAGTATTTAGCAATAAAAGATTCTTTAAAAGGGTATTCACTGTATCTTATAACAAGGTCTTTTGATTAATTGATTAATCAATTAATTAATAGTGCAGGTCTGTATTCCTATTTAGTCTGGAGGCTGTGTGTCAGGGGGATCAAAAGTTTCAGGGCTGAAGAGGCTACATGAGTTCAAGGAAAACCTGGGTTTCATCCAGACCCCATTTCAAAAACCAAAAAGGAAGAGAACCAGGGTGTGGTGCTTTCTCATCCCAGCACTTGCAAAGTAGAGGCAGGAGGAGTGAAAGGGGAATAGAGGACCTGGGTTTGATTCCTAGCACCCACATGGTGCCTCACAAGCATTTGCAAATTGCAGTTAAAAGAGAGTCTGATACCCTCATCTGACCTCCACGGTTACACAGCACGCACGAAGGCATACCACTCACACACATAAACCCCTCTCCCTTTTTTTTTTTTCAAGACAGGGTTTCTCTGTGTAGTCCTGGCTGTCCTGGAATTTGCTCTGTAGGCCAGGCTGGCCTCAAACTCACGGAGATCTGTCTGGCTCTGCCTCCCGAGTGCTGGGATTAAAGTCATGTGTCACCACTGCCACCTGGCTATAAAATAAATCTTTTAAAAAAGAGTGGAGTAGCCAGGCGGCAGTGGCACACACCTTTAATCCCAACACTCGGGAGGCAGAGCCAGGCAGATCTCCATGAGTTCGAGGACAGCCTGGTCTACAGAGTGAGTTCCAGGACAGGAACCAAAACTACACGGAAAAAAACCTGTCCCCAAAAACCAAAAAAAAAAAAGTGTGGAGTGGAGTTGAATGAGACTCCACACCCTACCTTCTTGTGCACATCTGCCTTCCCTAGCCATTTGCCTGTTGTATTGGAAACACCTGCTCTACAACTGTAAGGAGGTGGCTTACCTGACCAGATTGGGTGGTTTGGGGAATTCACTGACGAGGATCTTTGGTTTCCCCAGGCCTCACTTGTGTCGCTATGATCTTGTCCTTATGGAAAATGTTGAGACGTTCTTCCGACCTATTCTGTGCTCCAAGTAGCTCCTGTCAGGACACATGGACAGCGGTGACATCAGGATCTCTACAACCACAGGCCCTTCATGCCTCACTCTACTTCATCCTGAAGGCTCCAAAAGCACAGAAAAAAAAAAAAAAAACCAAGGTTATTTTCAGCAGTATCCCACGGATGTCACATCACAAAATGTCAAACGACCTGTGGTTATGAAACAGCACCGGGAGGGGAGCCCCTAACTAGGGCAAGACAGAAATAGCTGGGCTCCCAGCAGCAGAGTGCTTCGTCAGCCACGTCCTGGGGCCTCACTTGTTCCGAACTGTCAACTCTGCTGCCTGTCACATCACACCCTCAGGGCCATGGGTCAGGCATCTTGGGAGTGAAAGCTAGAGGCCTCGCTGGGTGATCCTCCACCATCCTGGCATGAAGAGGAGAACAAATCGGACTACCTCATGGGAAGTGTGGGTTGGGAAGGCCAGTCTGGGAAGGGTTTGTGAAAACCCTTGAGTCCATAATGTGAATATGCTTTTATTTTGATATGGCTTAGCTCTCATGTATAGATACGCAACCTCTCCTTTTCAACACCAACTTCCCTACTGGCTTTGGGGTGGCAAGGAGGCTCTGGCTTCCAGCCTTTTCTGAAATGATGTTGATGGCCAGAGATAGTGGGATGGGCTCAGGCCCTGAGTTCTGTACTGAGACCAGGGACTAAGTGGAAGGAAGGAGGAGGAGAAACAGGAGCAGCATTGCTCATGGACCGGGCAGAGAGAGAGTCTGGAGAGAATCGGGCTTGCTTTCACTGAAGTGCCAAAGTGTCGGTTACAGGATGGTTTTTCTGTTCTGGGACTGAGCGTGCTGGGTGCTGTGAGCCCTCTTCTCAGCTCCAGACAACATTATTTAAAGCAATCCTTAAGAATGTTTTTTTTCCTGCCTACTCATTAATCCATAATTATGATAGGAAATTCTTTAAGGTGCAGAGATGGAAAATAAAAATAAACTGTGCACAATCCCACCAATGCTAACCTTTTAACACGACGCTCTAACTCATGGGGCTAATGCGAATGTGAAGCGTAGCCCAGTTCTTGGTGCATGAAACCTTCGGGAAGACTTCCGAAGCCTCCCTGGAGGCAGAAGTGACTTCTGAGTATTTCTAAATGACAGCTGCAGCCAAGTTAAGAGGTCCCAGAGGGCCAGGGACAGAGCAGGTAAATGACAGTCAGACAGAGGGTCCAGACGCCTGATGCGAAGGTGGCTACTACACACCCCACAGCCGTGACTGTGGTGGTATTGTGTTCCCCAAAATATTGTGCACCCTAATAAACTTACCTGTGGTCAGAGAACAGGACAGCCACAATATTAAACATAGAGGATAGGCAGTGGTAGCACACGCCTTTAATCCTAGCATTCCAGAGGCAGAAATCCATCTGTTCAAGGATACAGCCAAGCATGGTGACTCACGCCTTTAATCCCAAGGAGTGATGGTAGAAGGCAGAAAGGTATATAAGGCGTGAGGACCAGAAACTAGAAGCATTTGGCCTGGTTAAGCATTTGGCTGGTTAAGCTTTTAGGCTTTGGAGCAGCACAGTTCAGCTGAGAGGCATTCAGTCTGAGGAAACAAGACCAGCTGAGGATCCGGCGAGGTGAGGTAGCTGTGGCTCGTTCTGGTTCTCGGATCTTCCAGCTTCACCCCAATACCTGGCTCAGGTTTGATTTTATTAATAAGAACTTTTAAGATTCCTGCTACACGTGACCACTTCGGAAAGGTGTCACAGGCCCAGGATATGTCTCTTCATCAAACCGTCCCGGCTGTTGTAAAGAAATGGACACCGTGAGCAAATGGGTCAAAATCTACATGGTTTTAGTTTCCTTTCCTGTTGCTATGATAAAATACCCTGACAGAAACAGCATGAGGGAGAAAGGGGTTGTTTTCGCACACAATCCAAGGGTACAGCCCACTGCGGCTGGCACGTCAAGGTAGAAGAGCTTGGAGAGAGCTGGTCATCACAGCCACAACCAGGAAACAGGGTGATGAATGCAGGCTTGCCGGTATTCTCCATTTCTTGACACATTTAAGGAATGATTACATTTTATTAGTTTGCATTGTGTGTGTATGTACATGTGCACACACATATACATGTAGAGGGCAGAAGACAACTTGTGGGAGTGAGTTCTCTCCTTCCAATGTGTGGGTCCCAGGAATCTGGTCATCAGGCTTAGAGGCAAGCACATTCACCAGCCAAGCCATCTCCCTGGACCAGTTTCTCAGCTCTTACACAGTCCAGATCTCCTGCTAGGGAATGGTACCACCTACAGTGGGCAGGTCTCTCCATCTCAATAAATGTAATCAAGATAATTCCCCAAAGACATGCCCAGAGCTGCTGCATTACCTGGGTGACTCTAACTTCTGTCAAGCTGACACCATTAGTCATCATGCTACTTTTATTAGTCAGGGTTCTCTAGAGGAACAGCTATCTCTCTCTCTCTCTCTCTCTCTGTGCATATAATATTTATATATTATATACATAAAGGGGATTTACTAGAATGGCTTACAGGTTGTGGTCCATCTATTCCAACAATGGCTTTCTACCAACAGAGAATCTTAGAGCTCAGTAGTTGTTCAGTCCATGAGGCTGAATGTCTCAGCTGGTCTTCTGTATACGATGGTATGCTGAAGAAGACTGTCATGCCAGTGAAGGAAATGGACTTGTCATTGAGAGCAAGCATATAAAGAAAGCAAGCTTCCTTCTTCCCCATCCTTTATATGTATATATAGGCTGGGCAGAAGGTGTGTCCCAGATGAAAGGTGGATCTTCTCACCTCAAAGAGCCAGATTAAAAATGGGTCTTTTCACTTTCAATGACTGAATTGAGAAAGAAAATCCCTCACAGGCGTGCCCAGCCATTTGGGTTTTGGTTAATTCCAGATGTTGTCAAGTTCACAACCAAGGATAGACACCACAGCACTACACAGCTTCTAGGCTTCCTACATAGAAAGGGTCTGCTCTGTTTAGGGAAGAGATGGCTGAGCTCGGGGTGGAGGAAGGCTCAGTGCACGCTTCCTCACAGGAGCACTCCCTCACCCTCAGATGGCTTCAACCACTGTGGACAGGGCCTGTGGCGAGGGGCTTTGATTTCAGAGGTTTTCATTGGTCCTATATTAGCATAGACACTTTTCCCCTCTTTCCCTTGTCTCCAGAGGGCCAAAATAACTGTACAAATGTCAAGAATGGGAATTTCTGTCAAATCACAAACTAACTCTTGGGGCCCCTGGGTTTTGAGCACAGCTCTGAGCTGATGTAGGTCCTGCGTAGCTGCTGTGGGATGAATGGGTGGATGGATGAATGAATGGGTAAGAAAGGAAGTCTGTTGTAGAGACATGTTTCCATGATGATCAGATAATGGTGATGGGCAGGTGAAGGGTGCTGGAAGGGTGGCAACTCTCTTCACCAAACCTTTCTCCTCCCTGAAAACATTTGTTTTCGCGAATCAGGGTTTTGCTATGATGCTCTGGCTGGCCTTGACCTTGGGATCTTCTTACCTCAGCCTCCCTGGTGCTGTGAGTATACAAGTGTGGGCTGCCATGCCTAGCACCAAGGAGCTTTGGGATCCACTGCCTGTCTTCGCCTTTCCTCCTTTGTCTCTGTCTGTGTATCTGTCTGAGTCCCAAGTCCGTGACACAACTGAACGTGAGTGCGCTCTCAGCTCCTTCAGCTCTCTGCTCTATGTGCCCTCTTCAGGGAGTCTGCTCGGGCCTCACGTGCAGTCACAGCACATGCTGCCTCTGCTGTGCTCTTTGAACGCTTCCTTTGTCCTCCGATGCGTGTGGATGTGTGGGAGGTATCGAGCAGAACACAGAGGAAGGGAAAACTGCATTCCTCAGGTCACTGGGGACTTACCTCTAGGAGCACTGCGGGACCTCAGTCTTCCTGTCTTTGCTTCCTGGCTCATGGCATAAGCACTAGTGGTCCTTGTATTCTCCCATCATCATGGGCTACCTTGCTAGAGGCCCAAGGCCATGGCCTATCTGCCATAGGATTGGGCCCCTCGCCAGAACTGTGAGCACAAACCAGGGATATTTTATTTCTTCTCTCCTTGAAACTGTTATTTTCTTTTAATGTACATTATTAAATTATAGCCTAAGAAATTTTACATGTGTATATGCAGGTGGTGTGTGTGTGTGTTCATGGTTACATGTGGATGCATGTGTACATGTGGAGACTAGCAGACAGCCTTGGGTGTTATTCCTCCTTCTGAGCTGTCCACCTTGTGTTTTTAAAAAATACAATTTTTGTTATATTTAATTATGTGTATGGTGTCAGATCCTCTGGAACTGGAGTTACAGGTGATTGTGAGCTGCCCTACTTGGGTGCTGAACTTGGGTCCTCTGCAAGGGCAGCACACGCTCTAAACTGATGAACTGTCTCTCCAGCCCCCACTCCCACTGACACCTGAGGCTTCCCAATTAGGCTAGGCTGGCTGGTGAGCTCCAGGGATGTTTGTCTCTAGTGCTCTGGCATGTGTGGGGGCGATGGATAGACCTGGTGATGCTGTCTCTAGTGCTCTGGCGTGTGTGGGGCAATGGGTAGACCTGGTGACGCTGTCTCTGGTGCTCTGGCGTGTGTGGAGTGATGGGTAGACCTGGTGATGCTGTCTCTGGTGCTCTGGCGTGTGTGGGGTGATGAGTAGACCTGGTGACGCTGTCTCTGGTGCTCTGGCGTGTGTGGGGCGATGGGTAGACCTGGTGATGCTGTCTCTGGTGCTCTGGCGTGTGTGGGGCGATGGGTAGACCTGGTGATGCTGTCTCTGGTGCTCTGACGTGTGTGGGGTGATGGGTAGACCTGGTGATGCTGTCTCTGGTGCTCTGGCGTGTATGGGGTGATGGGTAGACCTGGTGACATGTTGACTGGTGTTCTTGGGGAGTCTCTCTGAACTCAGTTTCCCCTGTAAGGCAGTTCCATTGGCTGTAATGGCAGACAGCCCCAGGACCCTCTTCTTGGTGAAGACATCCATCTGTTCCAATCACTTGCGAAGATGTGCTTATGTGTGTGTATGTGTGTGGTGTGGTGTGTATATGTATGTGCATGTGTGTGTATGTGTGTGTTGTGTGTATGTGTGTGTGTGTCGTGTGTGTGTGGTGTATATATGTGTGTGGTGTGTGTGTATGGTGTATATGTGTGTACGTGTATGTGGTATGTGTATGTGTGTGTATGTGTGTGTGATGTGTGCGTGCAGTGTGTATGTATGTGTATGTGGTATGTGTGTGGTGTGTGTATGTATATGTGTGTGATATGTGTGTGGTGTATGTATGTATGTGTGTGTGTGTGTGTGTGGTGTGTGTGTGTATGGTGTTTGTGTGTGTGTGTGTGTATGTGTACATGTGTGTAGAGGAATGGAGTCTGACACTCTAAGCTGGAATGACTGTGTTGGGACACACACACACACACACACACACACAAGAACATTGTCAGAGGCATGAAGTAGCAGGGTGTATAATGATAAGCTTTGATGAATGGGGAGAGATGCTGTGGAACAACCTTTGTACACTGTAAATATGTATTACTCTCATTGGTTAATAACGAGCTGACTGGCCTACAGCTGGGTAGGAAGAGATTGGGTGGGAGAGCCAGACAGGAGGATGCTAGGAAGAAGGGCAGAGTCACACAAGAAATAGAGGAAGCAAGACAAGTAGAAAATGAGGTAACAAGCCATGAGCCATATGGTAGAGCGTAGATAAGAAATACGAGTTAATTTAAGTGGTAAGAGCTAGTTAGTAACAAGCCTAAGCTATTGGCCAAGCATTTGTAATTATTAAATCTCAGTGTGGTTATTTGAGAACTGGCTGGTGGGATAGAAAAAATCTACCTACAGAGAGACATTCCCCCATTTTCTTAATTGAAAAATTTCAAATATATACAGAGACAGAGAAAAGAGTATAAAATCCACCTCCATGTGCCCATTACCCAGCTTCACCAATAACACATCTGTAATCTTGCCTTTTAAACCCATGTCCTGTTATTTTGGTACAAATTCATGACATTGCATAATTTATTTCCCCCTCTTCCCCCATTCCTACTTCCTCTCTAGTGTCTCATATATCCTAGAACTCATAGGCCTCGAACTCAATATGTAGGCAAGGGTGACCTTGAACTGAATGTTCTGCCTCAACTTCCTAAGTGTGGGGATGGGTGTGTACAACTATGCTGCTGGGACTGACCCCAGGCTTTGTGCATGTTAGGTGAGTACTTTACCAGCTAAGCTGGCTTCTCAGCCCAGTGTAAATATTTGGTAACTTTTCTTCTCTGTCTCTCTGTCTGTGTCTGTCTGTCTGTCTGTCTGTCTCTGTCTCTGTCTCTGTCTCTCTCTCTCCAGGGTCTGTGGTGGTTTGAATGAGAATGGCCCCCATAGGCTCATGTATTTGAATGCTTGTTTCCCAGTTGGTGAAATTGTTTAGGAAGGATTAGGAGGTGTGGCCTTGGAGGAGGTGTGTCATTGGAGGTGGGCTTTGAGGTTTTAAAAGCCCACACCAGGCCCAGTCTCTTTCTCTCTGCCTCTACTTACAGATAAGATGTGAGCTCTCAGCGACTGCCATGCTTTCCCACTGTGATGATCATGAGCTGACCTTCTGACAATGTAAGCAAGACCCCAGTCAAATGATTCCATAAGTTGCCTTGTCATGTGTCTCTTCACAGCAATAGAACAGTAACTAAGACAAGGTCTCACTACATTTTGTCCCAGGCTGGCCTTGAATTTGTAAACCATGTGTCTCAGGCTCTCAAGTTGCCACTACACCTTGCCTTACTTCAGGATCTTGAAAAGATAAAGTATACCCCCCTTTCCTTCTTATAAACAGCTCACATTATTCTTCACCCCTGCATCTTGTTTGAATGTTAGTCTAGCTATCTGTGTGGTACCCGTGTCCTAGTTACTGCATCTGGGGGGTTCCTTCTCATTCAAACCACTACACTGTACCAGCTTAGGATATGCAGGCCTGCCTCTTTCTTTTAGGAAGTGTCTTAATACCCATTTTTGAATGTGCCATAAGTAACCTACCAGTCCTGAGATGATGGGAATTCTGGATGCTCACAGACCCTTGATATCAAAACAAGGCCAAGAATATTTGCAGAATCAGTTCTTGCATGTCCACTTGCTAGGATTTTGTACTCTCGAATTTTGACACATGTTCCTTATTTGACACAAAGAAGTGCGCTGAGGTGCTTTCTGTCTTCTGACCCTTTGAAGTCCTCCCCCAATTTGTCAACCACATGCGCTGTCACTTCACGTCTCCGCTGTGCAGCCTGTCCCTCTTGCTCGGTTCCCACTGCTATCTATGGTCCTTTCCTTTTTTGTTTTTGTTTTTGCTGTTGTGGAATATTAGCTTAAGATGTGTTATATTCGTTTGTGCTGTGGAATATGTGTTTAATGATGCAAAGATGTGTTACATTCTTTTATGTTGCATTTGGAAAACTGTGTTGCTGTGCCTGTCTAAAATACCTGATGGTCTAATAAAGAGCTGAATAGCCAATAGCGAGGCAGGAGAAAGGGTAGGCAGGGCTGGCAGGCAGAGAGAATAAATAGGAGGAGAAATCTAGAGAAGAGGGGGAGTAGCGAGAAAAGGAGGAGAGGAGGACACCGGGGCCAGCCACCCAGCCACCCAGCCACCCAGCCACCCAGCCACCCAGCCACACAGCCACACAGCCACACAGCCACCCAGCCACACAGCCACCCAGCCACACAGCCACCCAGCCACACAGCCACCCAGCCACACAGCCACACAGCCACCCAGCCACACAGCCACACAGCCACACAGCCACACAGCCACACAGCCGCACAGCCACACAGCCACACAGCCACACAGTCACACAGCCACACAGCCACACAGCCACACAGCCACCCAGCCACCCAGCCACCCAGCCACAAAGCCACACAGCCACACAGTCAGCCACGGAGTAAGAAGGAAAGGAAGACATATAGAATAAAGAAAGGTAAAAAGCCCAGAGGCAAAGAGAAATGGGATGATTTAAGTTAGAAAAGCTGGCTATAAACAAGTCAGGCTAAGGCCGAGCATTCATAAATTAGAGTAAGTGTCCGTGTATTTATTTGGGAGCTGAGTGGCGGGCCCCCAGAGAGTAAAAAGAACCAACAGCAGTTTTTGTTTGTGTTTTCCCACCACGGCATTTGCAGTTAACTCAGAGTATGCTTTACTTGCTCTGACATGCAGACTCTCTCAAATGAGAATGGAATCTTCCCCTTTCCCCTTCCTGCTTTTGAAGACAGGTTTCCATTGAAACCCTAGGCTGTCCTCAAAGTCCCCATTCTGCCTCTGCTTCCCAAGTGCTGGGATTGCAGACATGCACCACCTTCTGGCTGGTGGAATCATGCTTATTAAGTGCTCCCAGGCTTATCTTACCACCTATCATTTATCGACGCACCAATTCCCCAGCCTAGTACTCCCCAAGCTGTCAATTCCCATTCATTTCTCACAAGCTTTGGGCTTCCCTGAAGGTTGGCTTCCTCAGGGCCAGCTCATTCCCTTTTCCTCTACCTGCTTGCTCATCCTAGAGAGTAAACTCAAACCTCACCTCTTTCAGAATTCACCCAGTGTGAGGACCACACTAGTTTTGGATATCTGAATCTGGGTTTTCTTTTGGCAGATGCCATTCTCTCTACCCTCCTACCCTGCCCCTTTCTGGATTTTGCTTAGTATTTAAGGATGACTGCACTCCTGGTCCTCCTGCTCCTCCTCAAGTGCTGGATCGATCATATGACTACCACGTCCAGCATCACAGAATCTTTGTAAGACTCAGATGTGTGTCACAGGTTTGTCCGTGCTAGCTCCTAGACAAGAGTTATAACACTGAGGTTTTTCATCTGTTAAGGCACATGCTGAAATGTGTTTATGAGGATTGGTGATAGTGAGCACCCACCGCTAAGGTGCTGAGTAGAAGGGCGGCAAGTCTGTTTCTTTCTGTGGTGGTCACCGTCAGCGCCAGATCCACATTTGTTGGCTACATTTGCTTTGTGGGACAGACTATGGACCAGGCTGTTTGACCACCATGCTGCAAACTGGCTGTGGCAGGCTCACAACTCACCCCTCGATCTCCCTGGATCTCCTAGTTCTGACACAAGGGGCAGTGCTGGGGGAGCTCAGCGCGGAGAAGGCAGGAGCGCGCAGACGAGCAGGCTCTCACAGTCCCTGGAGGGGGCGGGGCCTGCGGCGCGGCGGGGGCGGGGCACCGCGCAGACCACGCCCCCGTCCGTCGACGAACGCGCTCCGCCCGCCCAGCCGGCGCACGGAGAAGGGCTCGGCGTTGCCACGCGGGGAGCGCGCTCCCCGGCCCGGCCGCGGCATGCGCGCGCTGCTCGGCCTGCTCCTGGTATTCGGCGGCTGCACCTTCGCGCTGTACATGCTGTCCACGCGGCTGCCCGTGGGGCCGAGGCTGGCGTCGGCCGAGGAGCCCCAAGGCCGGTGAGTGCGAGCGCGCGGGGCGGCGGCTGGGGCGGAGCTCGGAGGCTTGGAGGTGATGCGCGGGGGGCACCTTGGCGCTTCTCTCTGCACCCCGGTCGTCTTCCAGCCCCAGCCATCTCGGCCACCATGGCTCTCCTTCCTCAACCCACTTTCCCACAGCAGCCAATCTTGAGAGGTGCAGCCCGGACTTCGGGTTACGAGGCTATGGTCCGGTCTGCCCTCTTCCTGTCTGACTCTGCTCCCCATGACAGCCGAGCGAGTCATGAGGCAGTAGACTTGCTGGGCGGGTTTCCCAGTTGCAGTATACTACTTTCAAAGTGTATGAAGTGTGCCTGGCGCGTTGCCGCATTACCAAGAGGCTTAGCTGGCATGCGGGTAGCAGGACAGCTGTTTTCAGTAACCATTGTCTTTCACTAGGGCTGAAAAAGCTCTCTTGTGGATGTCAGAGGTACTCAGGAGATCTAGGAGGGGTTGCTCAAGGTTTATCTCTGCTGGAGTAAAGAACTGTTGGGATGGCAGAGGCAGGGTAGTCTTTGTACTGTGACCCTTGGACAGGATTCACAGAGCTCCAGGCCTAGAGCAGGGTGAAAAGGCAGGCTAGTGGGAAGGGTTGGCTTCAAGCCTGCCACATTATCAAGAAAGCTGTGTTTATGATGTGAGATACATATCATTTTAAATGCTGAAACTGTTGCTTTGCCCAGTACATCTAGGGCAACACGGTGTCCAAATAGTTCTGGGCTTGCTGGGGAGGGGGTCTCCTTGAAAGGAAGGCAATTTAGGATGTTCAGCACTTGCCTGGTAATGAATATACTTGCCTTTTTGGACTAGATCAAAAAGAGACTGGGGATGCGGATCACTGATGGAGGCCATGCTCAGCATGGGGGAGGCTGTGGGATTCCATCTTACACCCCCTGAATACGTAAAGAGGGAATTTAGTGGTTACCCAGTACCAGATCCTTTTTAGGGGAGGAAAGCGAAGCCCATGGACACTACAAGGTCACACAACCAGGACATAGCAGAGCAGGGATGCCGGCCCAGGTCTCTTGCTCCCAAGTCAAGGCTGTCTGATCTGCCTCTGTTGTGTTCTGTTGGGCCACCTGTCGTCTGGAATTCATCTTTGTGTGTATTCCCAGGTGGCCAGATTGCGTGTTTATAAACTTACTCTAGGAAGAAGACACTTTCTTAGGCACCAGGCTTCTCTGGAATCCATGTTTCCATCTGATTTTCGAATCCCTAGGTCACTGTGGTTCCCCTCAGACCTAGCCGAGCTGCGGGAGCTCTCCGAAGTCCTTCGGGAGTACCGGAAGGAGCACCAGGCCTACGTGTTCCTGCTCTTCTGCAGTGCCTACCTCTACAAACAGGGCTTTGCCATCCCTGGCTCCAGTTTCTTGGTCAGTGTCCTGCCCTTTTTCCAACTGTTCTGAACATGTGGCCCCTGCTCCAGAAACCCCTTTAGTTGTGCAGCAGGGTGGCATGAAGCATAGTGTGGAGAGGCTGTCCTGAGCAGGCATTCAGCACTTAGTGATAATCCAAGCTTCCTGTTGCCCTGATTCCCTCTCCTCCCCCAGCACCTTTTCCTACTCCAGATTCCGCTTAGACCTACCCAAGCAGATTGGGGACTGGAAACGGGAAGAAGAGCAGACATGTCTGAGAGAGGGAGCTGGATGCGGGAGGTCCTGGGCTAAGTCCTTTGGGCTGACCCTGGACTGACTTCCCCCTTGAGCTGATCCCGCTTTGGGACAGAGAGCCAGCTGTTACGTGGTGCTGTATAGCCTAGGTTGGTAAGGACTGCACACCCAGAATTGGGGTGCGTTTTAATCCTGCCTAGTGTGATCTTGATTGTGAGGCTCTCTCTCCCCGGTAGGATGGGGTAGGGGTAGCACAAGACAGAGGGTATGGTTGGGACTTCTCAGGACTCAGGGCCAAGTATGTGTCACAGCCACGGCCGCCACACGGCCAAGGTCCCCTCTTGCCTGTTTGCTGACCTTTGCTCACCCATTTGTTCCCGTGTTCATGCTTTGTAGATTTATGTGTGTGTCTGTATACATGTGCATGTGCCTGTGGAGGTCAGAAGAGGGCACCAGATCCCCCGAAGCCGGAGTTATAGGCAGTTGTCAGCCACCCTGCATGGATGCTGGGATCCAAACACTGGTCCTCCACAAGAGCAGGAAGCACTCTTAGCCGCTACACCATCTATCCAGTTCATGTTTTGAGACGAGGTCTCACTCTGTAGCATAGACTGGTCTGGAAACTCATATGCTAGCCCAGGTTGGCTGAAGCATGAATCTTAACTGGTCTTACTAATAAGAACAAACCTGAAGCCAGGTATTGGGGTGAATGCTGGAAGATCAGAGAAGCAGAACAAGCACAGCTAACCTCACCTCGCCAATTCCTCAGCTGATCCTGTTTCCTCAGACTGGAAGCCTCTGAGTCCTCATCTAGAATGGGTCTCAGCTGAACTGTTGCTCAAAAGCCTAAAAGCTTAACCAGCCAAATGCTTCTAGTTCCTGGTTTTCACGCCTTATCCACCTTTCTGCTTTCTGCCCTCACTTCCTGGGATTAAAGTCACCATGCCTGGCTGTTTCCAGTGTGGCCTTGAACTCACAGAGATCTGGATGGATCTCTGCCTCCCAAGTGATAGGATTAAAGGCATGTGCGCCACCATTTTCTGGCCTCTGTGTCTAGTGGCTGTTCTGTTCTCTGACGTCAGATAAGTTTATTAGGGTGCACAATATTTTGGGGAACACAATACCACCACATTTGGCCTTGAATTCAAAGCCATCCTCCTGCCTCAGCCTCCCAAGTGCTGGGATTACAGGTGTGTGCCAGCACACTTGGCTATTCCCACATGCTTTCTTCCGGATCCCGTGCTTTCTTCCGGATCCCGTGCTTTGAGGCAGGATGATATTCACCAGCCAAACTGTACTTGTGAAGTATGAATTAACTTTTCTGTTCTTGTGAAACTAAGGCTTTAAGGTCAATTAGGACTGTGGCCAACACGGAAGCCCAGTGTGAGCTTTTACTAATCAGATGAAAAACAAGGAAGGCATCTTACTTGGATTACAGAAGGTACATTCATGGTCTACACAATAGTGAAATAGCGTGTGAGCTTCATTTCCCCTTTCTGGTGCCCAGTGACTGCGGGGGTAACTGTAGTGCTTGCCACAGCCAGGTAATGTCTGCACCTAGTCTCCTTTTTAACTTGCCAGTGCCCACTGAGTGCTAGGCCTTGTCCTCGTAAGGGTGAGGAGCCTAGGACTAGGCTTACAGTTCCATGTTTTCACCCACCTCTTTCAATGGGCCTTGGGTGGTGGCTGTGAAAGCCACTGAAAGTGAGAGAGCCGATGCACGCACAGGCTCCAGGACAAGCCCATTGCAGTGACTAGGTGTTCTCACGGCTGAGGGCTTGCTTTCCTTGCAGAATGTTTTGGCTGGTGCCTTGTTTGGGCCATGGCTGGGACTTTTGCTGTGCTGTGTGCTGACATCCGTGGGCGCCATATGCTGCTACCTGCTCTCCAGTGTTTTCGGCAAACAGCTGGTCATCTCCTACTTTCCTGATAAAGTGGCCCTGCTGCAGAGGAAGGTAAGGCGGGGCACACCTGATCGCCAGGTCTCTGAGCTCATGCTCTGAGAGGATCGAGAGCGGGGATTTCCCACAGCGCTCCTTTACCCTGCCTGGGAGCTGGACAGGGTTCATGTGTGGTCTTTAGGAAGCACAGACCTGTGATCAAATCCCAGTCCAGTTCTTGTTGTTACCTGCTCTATGGCTTTGAGTTAAGTTTCTGACCCCTCTGATTCTCAGCTACTGTGTTTTCATTTATTTCTTTATTTAGTTAATTCTGTGCATGTATGTGTGTTGGGGTGTGTGTGTGTGTGTATGCTTGTGTATGTGTGAGCGCATGTGAGAGAGAGTCTTTCACTGAGGTAGACTTGTTAGCCAGTAAGCCTCATGGATCCTCCCGTCTCTGGTCCCAGCACTGGGAGATCCCAGGCTTGTGCCCCAGCTCCAGGCTTTTTTTTTTTTTGGACATATGGATACATGATCAAATGCAGATCCTTATGCTGACAGGGTGAGAGCTTTACCATCTGAGCATCTCCCTGGCCCAGTTTTTGTTTTTCTTACGAGGTCTCACTGTGTAACTCGGGCTAGCCTAAAAGGCATGAAAGTCCTCCTGTTTCAGCCTCTGGAGTTCCTGAGTGCAGGGATTATAAGTGTGAACCACCAGGGGCAGCTGGTAGTTGTGTTTGCAAAATGGGGAGATCTTTTCCAGCCTGGAGCGGAGGGGGCGGGGGAGGAGCTGGGGAGGAGCTGTCTAGCTTCAGCGCATGCTGGAGAGCCTTTCTGCTCCTGATGGTGGGCTCTCTCTGCAGGTGGAGGAGAACAGAAACAGCCTGTTCTTTTTCCTGCTGTTCCTCAGACTCTTCCCCATGACACCGAACTGGTTCTTGAACCTCTCGGCCCCGATTCTGAACATCCCCATCGTGCAGTTTTTCTTCTCAGTGCTTATCGGTAAGATGTGGGGGAGGGGCTGGTGGAGGCACTACCCTCCGTCACCCGCCCCCCGCCACCCAGCCGCCCGGCCATGTGCTTGCCTGCCACTCGACACAACAGTCTTCTCTGACGTCAAACCCTCCTCTGGCTTGAACATACAAATACTTTGGGAGCAGCTAAGGATTGCTGATTCCGTGCCCATATTTAGTACTTCTCATGTGCCCAGCATGTGTTGGGCACTGGGATTGAGCAGGGTCATCTCTGTAAACCCCGTGACTTGACTCCAAGATGTGCTAGCAGACTGAAGGGCTGGTGCAGAGCGAGGGAGCTCCTTTCTGGCACCATAGGGAGGTCTGGCATCAGGGAGGCTCCTGTCTGTCTTCTGAGAACGGCATGGCCATACTTTCCCCCCGGAAATCACTTAACCAGATTAGAGTTGGGGTTAAGAGCAGTGTTTTTTTAAGTGTGGGCTTTCGGCCACCTTTACTACAAGTTAAAGCGATCACATCCTATCCATCTGTGGTACCTTCTCACTGCAGTAAACCACCACCGTCTTTAAACCAGGGCAAAGATGCTCAGACCTTCCTTAGAGTGTGGGGGGATGACAGTCAGGGGTTTGCGTCCACGTAAAAGTGTGCCGTGGAGCTGGCGCTATTAATAGGAATGTCTGACAGAAATGGAAGGAGGCTGACCACAGCCAGGTCTTAGAGCAGCTTGCTGAGTACCTCAGCGCCTCTGCTAATGGGGCTTAAAAGCTTGTCATTACCGAAGTGACACCAGCCTGGAAGGACTCTGGAAACAGAGTTCCTTCCTGAGGGCCAGCCTGTGTCCTTGAACAGTCTGGTCATTATCTTCCATGTTCTGCTTCACTGAAGTAGAGGAATGGGTTATCAGGGCCCTAACTGATCAGAAACTCGGGAGTAGGGGCAGGGAATAGGCTCCTAACATGAGGGCTCCGGGGCTTAACTGCAGAAGCAAGGAACTAGGACCTCTGAGGCGGAGCCTAAGAGTGTATTTTGTCTTCTTATTTGTGATATGGCTGTGTTATGTAGCTGAGACTTCAGGTTTTTGCCTCAGCCTTCCAAGCGCTAGACTATAGGCATCCACTACGTTTGGCTTGTAATTTCTCTTTGAGACTAGGGAGCTCTGGCTGGCTCTCTACTCACTATGTAGACCAGGAAGTCTTGGAACTCACAGAGCTCCATCTGCCTCTCTCTCCTGAGTGCTGGTGCTGAAGACGTACTCCATTATGCCGGACTTGGGTGTTTTTGTTTTCTCCTTAAACATCACAGGGCTGTTGTTTTTAGTTCTGAGACCAAGTCTCAGCATCAGGTCCAGGGTGGCCTTGAATTTGTCGCTCTTCTCCTGCCTCAGCCTCCTGATGACTGAAATGATAACATGTACCACCCAGCCTGACTCGAAGGAATTTTTATGCCATGTGCTGCCCAGCTCGCAGACAGACTCTTGGTGTCCGGAGCCTTGCTGAATTCTCAGAGTGCAGAACATACAGAGTTGTACTTTGAAGAAACTTGTTTTGTTTGTTGGGTTTTGAAACACTTTAATGCACACTGAGAAATTTCATGTTGCTTGGTCTCCTTTCTCTGGTTTGGCTCTTGGGTTCCACCTTCAGCAGGTGCATAGACTCCAGCATTTCTCTCTCAGCTCACTCTCTGAGTTATTATTTTTTTCTGTGTGAGTAGTAAATTCTCCTTATATATATTTGTGTGGCCCATCATAAGGCCTTTTGTTGGAGAAGGCGGGGTGTATAGGAAGTGTGGGGAGAAAAGGAAGGAGGTAGATTGTTTAGGGGGTTAAGAGTTGGACAGAGAGCTAGAGCCACTGTTCTGAATCCCCGGCCATCATCAAGTGCCGTTTCCTACCATCCTGCCCATCCATGGACCGTCTCTACTTTCCTTTTCCAGGTTTGATCCCATACAATTTCATCTGCGTGCAGACAGGCTCCATCCTGTCCACTCTCACTTCTCTGGATGTTCTCTTCTCCTGGGAAACTGTCTTGAAGCTGTTGGCCATTGCCCTGGTCGCTTTGGTTCCTGGAACCCTCATCAAGAAATTTAGCCGGAAGCACCTGGCACTGAGTGATAGGAGCAACACCAGTCGCCTGGGTGGCAGGAAGGACTCGTGACACAGGTTCCGTGTTTACCACAGCCCTGGATGCTGCTGCTGATCTGTGTGATGGTCCTTTTAATGCCCTTACTGTGTTTTAATTGCCCTCAGAAGGTGATCTCAACGGTGTTCTAGTATGCGCAGAGGCCTATTAGAAGGGCGCTCTGCTTGAGGGTCCAGTGCCGTTTAGCAGGGTTCTGTGAAATGGACTGCTTTCTAGAAAATCTTGTTTTGGTTCTATCTAGGACCAGGGGACTCAGTCTGCTGGGCTTGCCTCTTGCCGGTCCCTGAGATGTCTTGGGAGAAGGGGGCCTTTTGGACAGGCTGTGTAGCAGTACTCCTGTTAAGTCCCTGTGGGTGTTAGTGTCACACAGAACTCCAGCCCCTGTTAGTCTCTTGAAGAGTGTCTTCTCTACCTTTTTGCTGATGATCTACCTCTCCATAAGCCAAGGGACATGTGATGAACTGCCTAAGACTTAGACACACAGCTTGAGTGCAATGATTCCTGTAATACCCCGTTCACACACTGATGTTTCTGTCTACGTCTAAGCTCCTTGTGGTTGTATGTCTTGATAGTTAAGCTGATCCAAACATGATTAAATATGAATGGAGACAGCTTTGCATGTTCTGAATGTGTTCTGAGGAAATTCTCCCCTGTCCGGAAGGCCCTGCCGTGTTTCATCTGAGTCAAATGGCCATCTGTCCTTTTCTGCCTGGGAATCCCTTCTACTGCCTCCTGCTGGGAGAGTGGCATCAGTACAGGAGGCTGTTTGTAGCTAGAGTTTTCCTGCCTGGCCCACAGTCAGGACAAATCTCTTACCTGCCAGTCCCACAGCCGCTCAAACCCGACCAAGTAAACACAGAGACTTATATTAGTTACAAACTATATGGCCGTGGCCTTACCCTTCCTGCTTCAGCGATCCTCTTCAGCCAAGAGAGCTCTCTGAAAAGAAGCTACTTCCTGTGTGTATGTCTTTATATAGTCTAGCTGTTCTGCTTTCTCATTGGTTGTAAACCCAAACACATGACTGCCTCGTCACTGCCTGTCTGTAGAGACTTCCAGGTCTTCTATGGTTGGTATTGATATTAAAGGCATGTGTCTCCAGTGTTGGCTGTATCCTTGAACACACAGAGATCTACCTAGCTCTGTCTACCAAGTGCTGGGATTAAAGGCGTGCGCCACCACCCCACGCTCTTGCTATGGCTCTAATAGCTCTGACCTCTTGGCTTTCTTCTCTGAATCGGCTCTGTGTTTCTTATTTAATAAGACGGTTGGTTACATCTACAGCTGTCAGCCAGTACACCCTGTGAGTGTTTTTTATTTTGTCTTTGCTAAGAACAGCTGAGGAATTTGTACTTTTTAATTCCGAGAGGAAAAAGTGGTGTGATTGCTGGGCTATTCTGTAGTCACTCGGAGCTGTCGTTGCGTTTTCCAGCTGGGGCACTGGACTGTGGACCTCGGCACCCGAGCTAATAGCTCTGTGGGCTTGGGCCTCATAGGAACAACTCACGACAAGGACTCACCAGAACTGCTGCTCTAAGGCATCACAGGCTGGGCCGGTGTGTTTGTCTCAAGCCTAGGCTCAGCCAGGAGTCTTGCCAAGGCTTCAATCTGGGCCTGATGTGCGTACTCAGGCTCCACATTAAGAGTGGATTTCCATGTCATGGCTTTTTTTTTTTTTTTAAGGCTTTCATTAAAAAAAAAAAAATGTGTAAAAGAGGCCTTTCTAATGAGGGGGTATGAGGAGGACACCACGCTTGAAGCCAGTGGTTCCAGAGCATTTTGGAATAGAGAGGGAGAGAGAGAAGACGGGTTTTCTCCCCCTTTGCATGTATGTCCTTTTTCGCTGTCGGGCTCCCCCGACGTGTGTTCCCAGCAGGATTTTGCACAAGTTTGCCTTATCAGGGATAAGTTCACGGGTGAAAGGATTTCCCAAATCCATGGACATAAACATTCTACTGTGAAGACAGAACATAAGAGCTTGTCTGTACACATTGCTGACCCCAAACTGCCCTTTCCAAAGGGACCAGAATTGGCTGAAAAATATAATCCAAAAGACTGGTTTAGCTTTCCACTCCCAGCAGGCCTCTGACCAAATTATGCCAGCTCCCCATTTGCCTCTCTTGGCGTCTTTAAGGGTGATGTCATGGTAACAGGACAGCTGCAGAAACGGCAGCAGATGGCTCAGGAAGAAGCCGAGTGCCTGCCTCAACTCTCATGGGAAAACTCAAGACAAAGTGGAGACTGCGACTTTAGCTGTTGCCTCTGAAGTGTGAGAGTCCTGGCTGCAGAAGCCGGCTCGCCCTTCCCTGAAAACCCTGGCAGGGCAGCTTGCAGGATACAAGCGGCACCTGTAGGAAGAGACAGGACCAGAAGACACAAGGTATACTTGGTTTAATTTCATGCATTGGTTTGTTTTCATCATCATTCTTGTTCCCATTGCTGTTCGGTACAAAGCCAGAGCCAGTATCTGAAAATGACACAGAGCCGGTGACCCGGGAGCTTCAAGGAGACAAGGGAGTTCATTTTGAGACATAGGTACTAGAAAGAAATTCATTTGCCCTAAATCAATAGAACTCAAATTACTGTAATAAATAATCATATAAAGAGAGGGAGGGATGGGGGCAGACATACAAACATTTAAAAAAAAGACTCAAAAGGTTTCCCCATCCTCTGAGATGTGGAACTCTAGAGGTGGAGAGCCACTGGGGTAGTGTGGTCAAGATACCTTTTCCTAATAGCTTGCACATGTGCCTGAGCCCTCTCGCTTGTAGCCATGGGAGGACCGTGGTCATTGGCCAGACACCAGTGACCTCCAGTGCTGTGCAGAGGCCCTGGGAAGCAGGGCTGTGATTGTGCTGGAAGCTTCCTGACAGTGGCCTTGCCATCTGCTGAGGATGTGGCACCTGAAATCTTGCTGTCACGCCTTTGCCATGCGTGTGTGCGTGTGGCATTTACCAAAGCCTAACCAAGCTCTTTCTCTGTTTCTGAGAGCTGTCCTCTTGAGCCTCCTGTCCCTGAGAAATGTTCTGGGTTCCACTGGGTCCTCCACTCAGCAGCCTAGTTCAGTTCATTCTTGTTTGGACGGGCATTTGCAATGCCAGTTAAGCCATGCAGATGAGCAAACAGACGCATCCAGTGAGCTAGTCTAAGGGAGGTGAGCACATTGGGACATTTGTTCTATGGCATCAGCAAAGAAAAACCTTGCTGCCTGGAAAGGCACTGAATCCATACTGACAGTTGAAGAGAAGTCTTGACAAAAATTTCACATCATTCTCACAGCATTTTGGGAGGAAATACGTAACAGACTGCACACCTGAACCTTCAGTTCGTAGACAGGGAAGAGTGTGCTCATCTGGTACAGTTCCGTGTGGGTAGAGATGCAACTGGTGCTTAGTCAACTGGACTGCAGTCCAGAGGGAGAGAATAAAGGCAAGTGGCCCTTTGCCTGTCGTGGCATGCCCCTGTCAGCCTTGGGGACCCATAAGACGACTACTGGCATGGTCCTATACTTGCCCATCAGGGAACTCAAGGTCTAGAATCATCTTTAGGGAACAATTGTGAGCTCAGAGCTGGGATAATAAACACTGCATGCCAATTCCAACAAGTCAAGAATGATGCTCCAGCTGCTGCTGTGAGTGGCTCTGAGGCTGTAAACAAGGCTCAGCAGGGAGCAGTAAGTAAATGATGATGCCCATGGTGTTTAGTGCAGAGGTAATCCATGGTGGCACATGGTAGTGTTTCCGTTTCTGGAGAAATAAACACGGTATACGTGGAGCAGGGCAGGAATTCCTTGGATTTTATTTTATTTTTTGAGACAGGATCTCACCAAGGCAGAGCTCTGCCTTCTCTGTCTCTCCCAGAGCCAGGATTAAAGGTATATGCTACCAACCCAGCTAGAAATTTTTTTAAAAAAGAGAATTTGATGTGGGAAGGTGATCGATCGCCAGGCCCTACCCCACTGAGGCACCTGGCAGTTGAAAGCTGTTGGGGGGGGGAGACAGGAGGGGTCACTCCCATGGTCCTCCAGTGGATGTTTTCATACACATGCACACATGGGTGGCACTACTAGACTTAGTGAGTTACCAAAACAACAACCTAAAACACACCATCCCAAACAAAAGCATGAAGTCAGGAGGAGGAGGTTTTGAGTGAGATATGGAAGGGGAATGGAGTATGATCATATCTCATTATATGCATGTATGAAATTCTCAAAGAATAAAACAAATGATCATTAAAAACATGAGACATAAGGACATGAGAAAAAGCAGTAAACCACTGAATCAATAGGAACGCATTCCCACTGAGAAGACGTCAATGCTGCCTTGTGGGAACACTGACAACCCTGAGTCAGTAACAGGAACTTCAAAGCCATCCCTCCATCCCCTAGAGTAGGGTAGGAGAATGGCTTAGCACAAAGGGCCCCTGAATAAGCACTAGACAGTACTTACTCAAAATGACTTTAATTCCAGGATTAATTTGGTGGAACTAAAGGTCTAAAATACTCAGTCTTCAATCAGGCTACCCAAGACACCTAACAACATCACTTCATTGGCCTGTTAGGATCTCCCACAGTCCTGCAGCTAGCTCTAAGGTGAGGTATGTTTCAAAGTGGATATAGGTGTCTCCATTCCTGCGCTAAGCAATTGTAAGAAGGGTTTTTATTCAGTGACATGATTTAGAAAAAGAAAGAAAATCCAGTGCTTGACTGCAATACAAAAACAAAATTCATCTTGGTAGTCAAAAACAGATGGCCAAAGAATGTACATATTCCTCCTTCAATCAGTGACGGAACTTGAGATCAGTCTGGCCAGGCTTCTCAGAGCCCCAAAGCGTGGTGGCAGCTAACAGCATGGAAGAATCGGCTCTTGTGTGCCCTGAACTCTCCACTCAGTGTTCTGATGACTATAATGTTTTCAAGGAAACACAGTCAGTCCGAGTTTCCTGGTTCCTACAAGGCAGGCTGTGGAGGAAGGGCGGGGTAGAGACTATTTTTCCCTTTTAACCTTGCTTAGAACCATAACTCCACTCAAAAAGTCTGGGTTTTACTCCTGCCTTGGTGATACAGTGAATGACTGGAGTCAACGCCACATGCCGAGCACGCCTGTAACAGTTAATCTAGATAAAGGTGGCCTTAGTGTGACAGACAGGATGGGGATTCAGAATGCTGATGAAGACTGGCATGTAGGGCGGGGTTTCTGGGAGGACCGACGTGGAAAGGTGCCAGATAGAAGTTGGCCTTCCTGTTTCTCTGTTGCCACTAAAGGTGGGTATGGAGCAGGACAAACAGCTGGCTCTGCTTTGTGTTGGACAGAAAGAGTCTCAATTCCAAGGAATAAGGGACCCGAGGCTGGAGGATGAGGGAATACTGCCTCTGATGTCGTTCCCCAGCCCTGTGAGCCCCAACGCCCGCCCCCCAACTCCTGTCTGTTATGGAAGGACATCACTGAGGCATCACACACTTCTCTGTTTCTAGTCTTTCCACTCTTCCCAGTCTGTGGGGCTCAGCGGGAAGGAGATGACTGGCTCTGCTGTCCGCCCTTAAAACTACCTCATGAGCCCCCTGCAGAAACGCTTTGTCTTGCTGTTTTTGAGCATTAAATCTTTTTGCTTCTACTACAGTGCCATGATTTTATTTTTAAGACATTTGAGCAAGTTTATAACTTTGGGGACTTTTGAACTACTTGGTCATCAACTTGGTCATCTGCCCATTCAGGAGTTTTTACAATCAAGTAAAAAAAAAAAAAAATAATCACAGTGTACCCATTGGGTGTCAGGGCAGAGCACACCTCCTCAGACCACTGCTGCTGTATTCAGGAAACGAGGGGATACACTAAGGAATGCCAGGCATTCCAGAGGACGGTTCCAGCCCCAGACCTTCACTAGGCCCACAGAAGTCCATAATAATTCATGGTTAGCAAGAAACAGTCATTGTGCTACATCACAAGCCACACCTTCTGGTCAACAGAAAATCATGACACCATAAAATAAAACAACAATAATAATGCCATAACTTAAGCTCTCCTGTGTAGTCCTGCTACAGTTCATACAAAATGGAATAATTTAACAAAACAATACTGCTTTCTAAGTTAAACATGTTCCTTCATCCTTCCTATGAGCTAAAAATTATAGACACTAAATTTTAAAATCAATGTCTCAACATAAAGTGTAAACAAAGGAGGGTCAAACAGAAGACCGGCTGTAAATCCCCTCCTGCTTTTTGTTTTTGGCCGATGCAGTCAATGACACCCAGCCCAGGGGCACCATTTCTGTTGGGGTTGGAATGTCTTAATACCTAACATCCTTACAGGATGCAATGCCAGAACCAGCCAGTTTGGACTTGGCGGAAGCCTGCATTGGAGACACAGGAGTCAGGCTAATGCGTATGCTTACAAATTCTAGATAAGACATCTTTAAGCCAGGTATGGAGGTGCCCACCTGTAATCCAGCCCTCCGGGGGCTGTGAGACCTTTCCAGCTTCAAGCCAAGACTCCACAAAGCACCTCGGGGTACTTTTTACAGCCCAGGACTCTGGACACAGGAAAAGTCACATGCTTTTGAGAAACTAAAGGGATCCTAATTACCTGCTTAGCATCAGTTGTTCCTTCTAGAAATTTCCTAACCAACTAAACAAAACTGCAGTGATTCAGAATGAAAACGTGGTGAGATGGTCACTTTTCTGCACCCTGCTTCTTTCGCCTGTTCTGCTACAGTGACAGACGGCCACCAAAGCTTCTAAGCTAGAATGAGATTACGAACAGAATGGAAGATGGTTTGGGACTGGACACTGGACACACACATCCTAGCTGCCTCTGTGTGAATCAGTATGATTCCAGGACACAGACAATGGGGTCCAGAGAGGGGCTGTGCCATCTTGCATGTATAGATGAACCTCCATCCTGAAAAAGAAGTTTTACAGGCATGTTTTCCTAAAGTCACAGATGCTCTTTTTTTCTTGCCCCCTTATCCCACTTCCTGAAAGGAGTGGTCAGCAGGTGGGAACAAAGGAAGAAGAATGGCGCACAGGTCTGAAAGACCGTGCTGGTCATGGCCGTGACCGCGGCAGCACTTAAAGGGAAGCGTTTGCTAAGGGCAAGACTTGATGACACTGTAACCTTTACTGCCAGATCCTACTAAGTGTTTAAGGAATGAAATTCCAGGTGTGCAGCTACGGTTCTGTTTGCATGAGGAAGCACATGCCCTCCAAGGCTTTGGTGCTATTAGATCACTCAACTTCCAGGCTATTTCCATCCCTGCGTAGACAAGCCGCTTGGACTTAATGTGGCTGCATTTCCTTTGGCTTGTGTTTTAAATGCTCACTGTGTCTCATTACAGCTCTTCAAGCATGGACAAAAGACCTGGTCCTGGGTTTAAGCGACAGTGACACCTCCTAGCCCCACAAATTCCAAATGTTGCTCCTAAAGACTCTTTCCTTTCCTTTTTTTTTTTTTTTGTAAAGAAATTATTGTGTCTGTGTATCATATATAGTTCACTCTTTACAATACAAAGTGTTAAAATGTCCAACAAAAATAAATATCAATGTTACAGTAGCTGGAGTTTTCAGTACAATAGATCCCTGCCATTCTTGATTGAAATGCTCAGTGAGATGGAATTTCATTTGGGTATTTCCCCAGAGATTTAACAAATCTCATGTTCCTGTCAGTGTGGCTTGTTTCTGGGACTCAGTCACTCCTCCCAGACAAAGGCAGGAGGGAGGAGTCGAGGGCTAGGGAGGGTTCGAGATGCCAGCGTCTCGAGATCTTCTGATGGAGAGCCCCCTGTCACCAGGTGGCAGAGCTGTAGTTCTTGCTGGTCCTAACGGTGGCATCAGAACACTCCCCCTCTGAAGAGTCACAGTCCGAGTCTCCAAACTGCACAGGGTTCTGCAAAGTTCAGACAAGAGGTCTTAATTCTCTTCTACAACCCTCAGGGAGGGCATGTTGAACGCATCCCACGCGATAGCCCTTCACTCGTCTCTACAGCCCTTCCTGAAGGTGAGCTGAACTCCCCGTGTTATAGGAACTGACAAAGGACACTGGGCCCTGTTCTCGGGGGGGAAGTTACGGAGAAAAGGACTACAGGAAGTTGGCAATGCCGATGGTGGCTGTGGCAACTTGCCAGTTCCCTCACATCCCATCTCTATAGCATTCCAGGGCTGGGTACATCTGTTCGTCCAGTCTACTCACCTGCTGAAGGAGGTCATTTCTCGTAGATTTGATAGATACCACATACATTGTAAGGGTAAGGAAACTGACCTTCGGCGAGGTTAAGCAACTTGCCCAGGGTCACGTGGTAGGTAGAATGGCTGGGGTTTGCATCTAGGCAGTCTGAGTCCAGGGTCTACACCTACAAACACCCCAATCTCCTGGGCCTCCAAAGGCTGTTCTAGTCTACAGAAGCAGCACTTATCTTCTGGGCTGTGGCAATGTCTTCCAGATGAGAGTGAGAGCAGGGAGGGAAGGACTGGGAGATGGGTGAGGGGTGGGGTGGGGTGGAGATTTGGGAACATTTCATGTCTCTGTCTCATTTGTGAGACACTGTCCTTACTCAGAGAACCCCACGGCTACATGTTTTTATTTACTTCGTGGAGGCAGTGTATATTTTATCTGCCGACTGAAAATGATAACGACCCCAGGCCTGAACCTACTTGTGCAGTTAGTTCTGTCAATGTGACACAAGCTAGTGTCCTTTGAGAAGAGGAAACCTCACTGGAGAAAATGCTTTCAGCAGACAAGTCTGGGTTGCATTTTCTTGATTAACAATTGATGTGGGAGGACCCAGCCCACTGTGGGTAGTACCACTCCCTGAGCAGGAGGGCTTGGGTTGTAGAAAGAAAGAAAGAGAGAGAGAGAGAGAGAGAGGGAGAGAGGGGGAGGGAGGGAGGGAAGGAAGGAAGGAAGGAAGGAAGGAAAGGAAGGAAAGAAGGAGGAAGAAAGGAAGGAAGGAAGGAAGGAAGGAAAAGAAAGAAAGAAGGAAGGAAAAGAAAGAAAGAAAGAAAGAAAGAAAGAAAGAAAGAAAGAAAGAAAGAAAGAAAGAAAGAAAGAAAGAAAGAAAGGGAAAAGAGAAAAGAAAAGAAAAAAAAGCAAGCTGAGCCAGCCGTGGGAGCAAGCCAGAAAGCAGCTGTCCTCTATGGCCGCTGCTTCGGTTTCTGCCTCCAGGCTCCTGCTCCGCTTTGGTTCCCGCCCTGGCTTCTCAATGATGGACCGTGAGCTGTAAGCTGAAATAAACCCTTTCTTCCCCAAGTTGGTTTTGGTCACCATGCTTATCACAGCAATGGAAAGCGAACTAGCATAATGCTCTAAACCCAGGGGACTAGGAAGGGCGTAGTGGAGTGAGGAGGAGGGAGGGATGCCCACCTCGTAGCCACGCTCCTCGGCGCACAGCCTGCCCAGGGACATCTGTGTCTTCACGCGCCGGACAGCACACTCCTTGTCAGACAGCCCATCTGAGTGGGAGGAGATCTCGATGGGGGCCTCGGGCGTCTGGGACAGCAGGTCGTCCAGTTTCTCTGCCAGGCGGTCTTCCCGTCTGTCAGCCGACTCATCGGGACTGTTTGAGTGGTCACTGGTGTTCCCTTCCTCTCCATCAGACACAGAGAAGTTCTCGGAGCTAAAGGTCGAGTAGGACTGGCAGCTGCTAATACAGCGGTGGGGCCTGGAGACAGGGAAAACACAGGCTTAACCAGAGGGGGAGTGGCTCCCTGGCTTGCCAATCAGTCAGAGTGACGGGAGCCTGCTAGCTCCTGCCCGCCCCCCAGATTCTCTATTATTTATCCATCTCTGACATGTGAGGACACAGGAAGAAGGTGGTCTGCAAGCTAGGAAGAAAGCTGTGACTAGGAACGGAATCACTGTCACCACCACCTTGGACCGCCCAGTTCCCACAACTGGGAGAAATGTGTGTTGTTCCATAAACCCCCTAGTCTGTGGTATTTGACCAGAGCAGCATGAACAGACTAACCCAAGGAGACCCACCAGAAACCATCTGAACCACACACACGTGCCACCCCTCCCAAACCAGACACTGTCTGTGTTCTGGAGTGTGACAGTGTATCTATATTCACGCTCCTTGCTGTGAGGGTCTGTGAAAATGAATCTGATGACCTGTGACCTGCTGTGCAGGGCAGCCTGCAGACCTGCGATGGGAAGACGGCAGCGCGTAGTTCAATTTCCCTGTAAAGTGGCTGCAGACGGGTCTCTAGCTGAGCCCCTGCGGCATCCTCGGGAGCTTCCCTAGGACACTGAACAGCGTCCCAGGTTTGTGGGGGCCTTACCTCTGTCTTCGAGGAAATTCCACTTCACTGTCTACTTCCCCTTCCTCTTCCGAGGAGTCATCTCCACTCTGAGGACAAGGAGACAACAGATTTAATTTTCATTCTAAAGGGGTTTAGTGACAGCTTGCTGATGGCATCTTCAAACATCTCCATCCACATCCCAGGAGGGTAGCATACAACTGGAATCCCGTCACTCCAGGGGCTGAGGCAGGTGGACCGAGGGCAGCCCAGGTACATAGAGAGTTCCAAGTCATCCTGAGCTATTTAGTCAAATGCTGTCTCAAAAACAAACAAACAGACCCCCAAACAAAACAAACAACTCCCTAATACCAAAGCAAAGCAGCCCAAACCAACACATCCATATGTACCCTCCATTCAGCAGCAGTGCTCCCTGTTTCCATGACAACAGGCCCTTTACCAGGTGCTAGAAGACACAGAAGTTTCCCTTTGCCTTCAGGAGGTGGAGGCCCCATGCAAGTGTCCAGAGGAGAGTGGAGAGGAAGCTGACGAGGTCTTGGATTTGGGACACTGTCCTGTAACTGCCAGTGGTTCTATGAAAGCATAGAAATTCCACCTTGAAGGGGCTTTCCAGTTCTGCAAGCCCAGCAAGTGCTTTCCTCTTTCCAAATCAATTGTTTGGCCACTAATACTACAGTCTTGTGAAGATTACGGTGTTTAAATGTCAGTGTTAAATGTCATACAGTGTTAAATGTAAAAACAACCCGTGTATACTCAACTCCAGAACAGCATTTCTAAGTATCTATAGTCACCACTTTTCAGTTATAAAAAGGTTCTTCATGGATTTTCACCGAGTCCACACATTGGCGGGGACAAGGTTGCTCTGGCCAGGACCACTGAGATGGTTGCTGGGTTCTGTGGCCGATGTGAGCGGCTGCCTAAGTGAATGGCTGGCAGCTAATCTTCCCCATAGGGAAGATCTCAACTGGCAGTAAGGGCAGAAAATCGGCCATAGGTAAGATCAACTGTCCTTACCCCGGCACCATAGTCCCTGGATTACAGTCTGCTAGGAGCTTAGACGGACCCACCACTGAGCCGGTGGAAAGGATCCAAAGGTTGAGAGTAATTTACATTTACAAAAGCCAGTTCTAAAATATCACAATCTTATTCATTGTATTTTGACATGCATTTTTCTTAACAATAGGAAAGACAGGGCTGGAATTAGTAATCCTGATTGCCAAGATGAGCAATTACATCAGGAACCCCCACAGAAATGCATCTTGGGAAAGAGAAGCTGAGCTGCTATGGGGTGTGCAGTTCCAATGAAGCTGAATGTGCTCTGTGTTCTAGGGCCTGCAGAGCCATATATGGCATCTAAATGACAGCAGGGTGGCTCAAAGGCACATGTGACATGGAGTGACTAAGAAAAGGTCTGGGTTTCTTATGCTTTAAAATTGGTCACTGAGATGGCTACAGAACCATGTAGGTAAAAGTCAGTGAGCCAGGCTGGCGAGATGGCTGGGGGCAAAGGCATCTGCTGGCTATGGTGGTGTATGTCTATAATCCTAGCATACAGGAGGCTGAGACAAGAGAATTCTGAGTTTGAGACCAGCTTGGGCTACACAGCAAGACTCTGTCCCCCAAACCAACCAAACCAGCCAACTAGCCAGCCAGCCATCCTGTACATTCTAGAGGGACGGACTCTATGTTACCAGCTCCAGGGGTTGGGTAGGGTGCAGAATGGATTAGCTCACATTGACCTCACATGGACCTCTGCTCAGCCAGCAGCAGTGGCACACGTGGAGGAAGGAACACAGTTCTGCAACAGCACACAGTCCCCAGCTGTCGCTCCTTTCCCATGAAGTATCTAGTTGACCAAACAAGCTCATCTTATACCCCCTTCCCCTCAGCCATGATATGAGCTGAAGCAATATTTAGGATTAAATGTGCACCATGTTCCAAACACTTCTCACAATCACCTGTTAGAAACCTTAGCAAGGCAAGCTAACATGAAGCAGGCTGTACTCCAGATGCCATTCTAGATGCTCTCTACTTACTAATTCATGTAGTCTTCAAGTCGACCAGCATGGCAGAGTCCACTACTGGGCCCTTTGCATGGACAGTGGTGGATTCCCAGAGGTGCTAAGTGGACGACCCTGGCTAGATCTCCAACACCACAGAGGACCGCAAGGCAGCCAGTGGAGAAGACAAACAGGTTTCATGATTTAAGACTAGCTGGGTCAAGACGGCTGTTACCATTAGATTCAAGACTAGCTGGGTCAAGACGGCTGTTACCATTAGATTCAAGACTAGCTGGGTCAAGACGGCTGTTACCATTAGATTCAAGACTAGCTGGGTCAAGACGGCTGTTACCATTAGATTCAAGACTAGCTGGGTCAAGACGGCTGTTACCGTTAGATTGTAAGGAGCATTGGTGCCGAGGAGATTAAGAAGCTCAAGCTTTAAAAAGCTGTCGTCAAATAGATGCAGGAATGTTAGGTGACAGTTCACTGTGTGTCTTCTCCAAGACCATGTTTGCCATTGTGCACCGGGAATCTCCACTTCCTAAACTTCCTTGGGCCACCCCTCAAGCTTGGAGTTCTAGGACAATAGTTTGCAAATATTTTGACTATGTCTTTAATATATGGTTATCCTGGTCTCCCAGTTCAGTAATCCCTCAAATCAACTCCCTGGCCCGCCACCAGAACACCACGGAAGGAGAAGTCAGTCTTTAGAACAAAAGAAACATCTGTGCTCTGTTGGCTCACGCTTTCCCAAAGGCACACCTTTTAATGTCCAGTTTTATAATGTGCACCACATGATTGACTCTGACATCATTTGATGGCAGTGACGGGCTACTCTTGTCATACCTTACCTTCTGAAGGGGCCGTGTCTTTTGAGGTAGCATTGGGGGTGTGAATTGATGAGAAATACCGGATTGACAGCCATTGAATCCATTTGCCTCCATTCTCTCGGAGCCTTGGGCATTTCCTGAAAGAGGATTGTGTGCTGGTGAACTGGAACAGTCTGGGCTGCTTCCCACTGGCTCAGTGGTGGGAACATCTAAAGATCCAGAATGCTCTGGCCTGCACTGGAGACAGGGATCATAGGCTTCGGTCTGACAGCAGCCCCAGGGTCCAGCTTGCTCAAGTTCAGAAGCCCTCCAGCAATCTGCCGCCATGGCTGTGGAGATGAGGTCCGGGCTGGAGCCAGGCATCTGTCTTTGAGCATGGTTGCTGAGTGGACTCCGCAGGGCTGCTGCTGGGCCAAAATACCTCAGGTTGTTGGCACAGGTTGCAATGTCCTGCCCATGCATATTGAGTCGGGGATGGCGGCTCTGAGGCAGGGCAGAAGGGGGTTGCTGGTATTGCTGCTGGAGAGAAGGGCAGGGAGCCTGAGCGTGATGCAGGTAAGCGGGGTGGGGTGAGTTTTCCTGGGTCGGCTGGCTTTTCAAGATTGCTGCAAAGTCACTATGGCTGCCTCGACTATTCCCTCGGCGGTGACGAGGTTTGCTTCGGTATCGGCTCTTGCTGCTTGACGTGGACATTTTGGGACTTCCAGACAGAGGGGATGCAGTGGGAGCCACCTCTGCACTGGGGATACCTTCAGATCGTAACAGGTCTGGCCTGGGAAGAAGAACAGGTTTGTTTCAAACACATCAAAACATGTTTAGCATTGGGGTAAAATGCGCCAAGCTTTAGAATACACCCTTGGGTTGTAAATTTGCGACTCTGGGGATGATATCCAATGTCTTGTGCCTGTTAGGCAAGCGCCTTACTGCTCAGCTACATGCCTGGGCCTACACACTTGGTTGTTATTGTGTGTCTGTTTGTTTGAGATAGGATCTTACTCTGTAGCCCAGGCTAGTCCCAAACTCATGGCAATCTTCCTGCTTCAGCCTCCTGAGTACTGGACCTAGTACTGTGAGCCACCCACCTCGTTTCACATACCCTTTCAGTCAGCATTCACCGACACAGGGATTTACCCAATAGAGACAGCAGATGCACACAGAGAGCTGCTTAACGGTACAGTACAGCGCTGTTTAAAACAGCAGACCTGGAAACCATCTCCATGTCCACTCCCAGTGACTTCTCTCTAAAGTCTAATTATTCTTGTGGGAGGTATGTGTGTGTGTGTGTGCGCGCGTGTGCGTGCGTGCGTGTGTGTGCGTGTTCCATGGTGCATGTATGGAGGACGGAGCATAACGTTGGGGAGTCGGTTCTCTCCTTCTACCGCGGGATCTGGGGATTGAACTCAGGTCATCAGATTTGCATACTGGTCTCAGCTGGGCTGTCTTACTGGCAGCTTTTATTCCTCTGGATTCTGGGTCACTAGCTTTGTTCTACAAGGTCCTTAACGTCTTCCTTGTGATCTTGGCTGTCAGCCTGGTACCCTCACAGCAAGGTATGGGCGTGGGAGTTTGCTCACATCAGACATCTGTCTAATGAAATATCTGGGCATGCTGTCTATCCCAAAGGAAAGAGGTATGGTACCACAGAACAAAACCTCAGGCTCATTGGCAAGATCTAAAATGTTCAAGGAGTTTGGTCTAGACATGGTCTACTGGAAAGATCCACCCTGTATACAGCAGGTACTCAATAAATCCTCATGAAGTTAAAAAGTGTCTCCACAACCCACAACAAAGGAAACAAGTTAACCGAAGGAAGGGGCAGCCTTCAGAACAGGAGTAAAAATCTTTGCCAGCTAAAGACCTGACAGAGGATCAATATGCGAATATACAAAGAGCCCCCAAAACAAACAAGAAAATGAGTGACCATAATAAAAATGAAAGGCTAAGGAACTGAACAAAACATCTTCGGAAGAAGAAATACAAATGGCCGATAAAGACTAAAGAAAGCTAACAGAGCTGGGGAGACAGCTCAGTCAGCAAGGCGCTTGCCACAGAAGGAGGAGATGAGTCTGATCCCCAGCACCCATGTTTAAAAAAAGAAGCCAGGTGTGGCTGCATGGTCAGCTTGGGGTGGGGACTGGGGTGGGAGGAGGGGAGGCAGAGACAGGTAGACCTGGGACCCACTGGCCAGCCAGCCTACTTAGTGGACTCCAGGCCAGTGTGAGACCCTGTCTCAAAAGAGCAATGTGGATGTCATCTGAGGAGCAACAGCCAAGAATGACCTCTCTCCATTTGTACATACATACATGCGCACCCGTACATACATGGGCACACCCATGTACACACACATACACACACACACACAGAGCTGAAAAAACAGCGGCTCACACCCTTAGCCACCAGGGAAATGCAAACTGAAACCGCTCTGAAATTCCTCTCACCTCAGTTAGTGATGATCAAGAAAACAAATGACAACAATGCTGGCAAGGTGTGGAGAAAGGGGCTTATTCATGATCGATGGGGTGGAGACCGGCGCAGCCACTGTGGAAGTCAAGAGCTCCTCCAAAAGCTAGAACTAGAATTACCACACGCCCTAGTGTTAGCACTCCTGTGATACACCTGCTACAGAGACACATGCACACACATGTTCACTGCAGCTCTAGTCACAGCAGGCAGGAAATGGAAACAGCTTACACACACACATCAACAGAGGAGAGGATGATGGAAATGAGGTACATATGCACAATGGAATTTTATTCAGCTGCACTGCAAAGAAAAATGAAATTATGAAAAATTCAGGAAAATGGATAGATTTGAAAAATATTATATTTATGAGGTAACCCAGGCTCAGAAAGACAAACTCCCCATGTTCTCTGTCATATGTGGATCCCAGCTTCAAATGTAGACAGATATATTTGTGTGAATGAGCATGTGTGGAGGTCAGAAAACTAGAAAGGGGCCCCTGAGAGTCAGGGGAAAGGCTTCGGGGAGAAGAGTGGGGGGGGGGGGTGTTACAGAACGCATCTGATAGGAGTGTGGAGGGGAGATTACTAGGGGTGGAAGGGTTTAAGCAGGGATGGGGAGAATGGAGATGGGACATAATGTTGTATGATATTCTGTTTGTGTTCTGACAAATAAAGCTTGCCTGGAGATCAGAGGGTGGAGCTAGCCACTAGTTAACCATAGAGGCTTGGCAGTGGTGGCACACACCTTTACTCCTAGCACTTGGAAGGAGAAGCAGGAAGATCAGGAGTTCAAGGCCACCCTGGGCTACATGAGATTGAACCAGTCTAAAAGGGAAACAGGGCTGGCGGTGGTGACACACACCTTTAATCCCAGCACTTGGGTGGCACATGCCTTTGATCCCAGCACTTGGGAGGTGGAGACAGAAATATGAGGTGGGTGGAGACAGGATCTCGGCCCATTCAGTCTGAGATTTCGTAGAGGTAAGAAGATTCTGGTGGCTGGCTGCTCTGCTTCTCTGATCTTTCAGCTTTTACCCCAATATCTGACTCCAGGTTTTCATTGATTGTTAAGACTAATTAGGATCACACTTCAAGGTAGGGAAGAGGAGAGAGAAGAGAGTTGCAGGAAGGTCAACCAAATCTAAGAATGGATGAAAATGTCATAAATAAACCTACTGCTTTCTAAGCTAATAAACATTTAAAAGTTAGAGGTACATTGTTGGCTTGTGTTTCTCCTTCCCATTTTCTTATTGCGCTTGGTTCGAGTCTTACGAGCCCAGGACATTCTCTCCTTTATAGTAACCTGTCTGGGATGGAGCCAGTTCTCCGGCATGTGAGAATTATAAGGCTCCACAGCATTTGGTAATTCTAAAAAGGAGTGAAAAAGTATTGTTTTTGAAGGTGCATTGAACTTGGGGCCCCATGCAGCTAAACATACATTCTACACAGAGATGTAACTCCACTGAGATTAAACCAGTATAAAGCCAGAGTTATAAATGGGGAAAGAAGCTGGGCACGGTGTGCACACCTTTAATCCTAGCACTCAGGAGGCAGAGGCAGGAGAATCTCTGAGTTCGAGGCCAACCTGGTCTACAGAGCAAGTCCGAGGACATCCAGGGCTGCACAGAAAAACCCTGTCTAGAAAAACCAAAACATAAAAATAAATAAATAAATAAATAAATAAATAAATAAATAAATAAATAAATAAATAAGGAAAGAATGATCTCTTAAAAGCTAAACCCCACTTTTGAACACCAGTGCCCTAAAAGTGATTTCACACTATTCAAACTTCACAGTGAGGTGTGATCACACATGTTTGTTACCCTGGCTACTTAAGAGATTGAGACAGGAGGACATTAATGAGTATGAGGCCAGTGTGAGTAACCGCCTACCAAACAAACCAACAGAACTAAACAAAACAAAAGTCATAAAAATTCCACGCAGAGGTAGAGTATGGGGAACCACTCAGCTAGGTATACATAATTATCAATGCCCTGTTTTATTTTTGGTAGTGAGTTTTACGTTATTAAGAAGAACTAAGTAAATACATTGATAAAATATGCATAGACCACTGTGTCAAAAATAAAAAATTACGATTAACTCAGTTGTTTCTAAGGGTTATAAGAATAGAAAGAAATCCCATGTAACACAATGACACCATTTACCCATGAGGATACTGGATTTGAAAGAGGCCAAACGACATGGCCCAAGGCACACACTTATAAAGCAGGGCTGGAGTTTCAACCAGCCTGGCTGTCCCTGTTGTATACATCCCTGTCCTGTATTTGGTGCTAAAATAGAGTGCCTCAGGCAGTAAAAACGAGATTTCTGGGGTCTGTGCCATGCTCTGTCATCTCCCTACTTGGTTTTACCACAGGCCATGTGCTGCTGGTGAGCTACAGAAAGGCCATGTCCACGACATCTGAGACTGCCCTTTTACAGGTGACCCCATTCATCTAAATGTCAGCTGGATGGATGCAGTTTTCTCACCGCTTAGTCTGTACCCCGGCCTTGTGGGGCACACCCTTCCTTTTCATGAGTTTCTCCATGGCATTGGGGTGGATTATCGGACGGACAGGGTGTCGCTTGTAGGTCCCAGGATACTTCTTTTCCACTGCTTGCTCTCTCCTGTGGGACGAAGCAAAAAAAAAAAAAAAACACTCTTTGGTTTTGGTAGACAGAAAGGCAGGACAGAGATGATCTAAGATGGTACCATGGGAGGCCCTGATGGCCTGAGGTTGCAGTCTACCACAGCCTGGTAGCTGTCTCTGAGCTCGGCAACATGGACAACTTCCACCTCCTCACCCCAGGAAGGCACCCTGTTCTCTACCTGACCTTACTTGGAGATGCCTGACTTACCTCTAGTATGACCCTGGATGCAGTTCCCTGCAGAAGCTCGCCCCGCTGCCCATATGGTAACTAGACATTGTGCTGGGACCATTACTAGAGGACTGTGATTCCACATATGATAACTAAGACTTGTACTAGGAGCTTTATGATAGGAGCGTGCTGTTTAATGCAAATTAGGTGATGCCCCAGCCACTGCCCCATCCTTTAGATCTCTCCTCACTCTGGAGTAAAGCTGAGCTGACTCACTGAAGTTATATCCCGGACAGATATCTCCACTGTGCTCACAGGCTGCTCAAAGCTCTTTGTCATCGCTTCTGCCCCTTGTCCTCATGGACTGGTGGCCAACAGGCTGTGAGAAAAAAGGGGAACCCCACAACTGTGGGACCGGAAAACATCCTCCTAATCCCCTACCTACTGAAGAGGAAAACCAGAATCTAATCAGAGGGTTGCTAACCAGAGCACTATATTAAGCATCCTCTACAGAACAAGTGGGCACTGGGGATACAGGTTGGTGGTTAAGTGCACTTGATGCTCTTCCAGAGGACCTGAGTTCAATTCCTAGCACCCATGTTAGGTAGTTCACAACTGTCTATAACTCCAGATCCAATGAGGCAGAGAACTAAACAGAGTTCCCAAAAGATGAAACACAAATGGATGAGAAACATTTTTAAGAAATGTTCAACATCCTTAGACATCAGGGAAATGCAAATAAAAAACCTCTTTGAAATATCATCTTACCCTAATTAGAACATATACGACTAAAAAAGAAAAAAGAAACCAAACCAAACCAAAAAAATCCACCCCCCCGCCCAAATAAACAATAACAAATGCTGGCATCCCTGGAGGTGAAGGAGAACACTCATTCACTGCTGTTGGGAGTGCAAACTGGTGCAACCACTACGGAAATCAGTGTGAAGTTTCCTCAGAAAGCTAGAGACAGATCTACCACATGACTCAGCCATACTGTTCTTGCTCCACACCCTACTCTAGAGACGCCCACTCATCCATGCCCAGTGCTGCGCTAGTCACAATCTCCAGGAGACGGAAACAGCCTAGACATCCGTGAATTGATGAGTGGATAATGAAAAGGGGTTACATTTACACAACGGCATATTATTCAGCTATTAAGAAAAAATGAGATGGGGCTGGAGAGATGGCTGAGTAGTTAAGATCACTGGCTGCTCTTCTAGAGGTCCTAGGTTTGATTCCCAGCAACCACATGGCGGCTCACAACCATCTGTAACTCCAGGATCTGATGCCTTCTTCTGTCCTCTACGGGCATTCTATGCACTTGGTGCACAGACATAGACACAGGCAAAATAACCATAATATACATACAATTTTTAAAAAAGAAAGTAAAATGGAAAAATCTTAAAATGAAGAAAAACAATATGAAATTGCCCGGGAAATGGATGGAGCTGGAAACAATCATACTGAGTGAGGTGACTAACTTTCTCTCATTTGTGGATGCTAGCTTTGAATTTTCAGATAGGCACATTTCATTTAGAATACCCATAGAGGTCAAGGAAATAATAAGAGGGTAAGGGGGGTGCTTTAAATGCAGAGGATATTAAAAGCAGTGGTATAAAAACTTAAGAGGATGAGCGTAACAGGATGGGTTAAATTGGCATGGGGAATGGGAGAGCAGGGTAAAGGAGGGAATGTGGGAAGGGATACATAACTCTAGAAAGTCTTCAAAACAGACAAATGGAAACCTGCCCACTACTGTAGAAGCGCTCTCTCTCTCTCTCTCTCTCTCTCTCTCTCTCTCTCTCTCTCACACACACACACACACACACACACACACACACACACACACTCACACCAGAGAGAGAGAGATTGAGAGAGAGAGAGAGGGAGAGAGAGAGAGAGAGAGAGAGAGAGAGAGAGAGAGAGAGAGAGAGAAATTACCCTATAAAGATTCAACAATGCTCTTACTAGACGCCACAGGCTAACAAATAAAAAGCTTGGTGCCAGGAATAGGTTACTTCTTTTGTAGTTTGGGCTCCATTGAAATTCCATAGATCCAAAACATTACAGGCTACTGCCAATGCTTTGGGTTACCCTCCAGAACCTGACAGTAAGACCCTATTGCTGAAGACCTTGTACTCGAATCATAGAGCACAGAAGTATGAAGCTGGTACTGATGTGGAAGCTTCATCTCTACTGGCTAGCTCTCATAGTGCTGGAAGGTCCTACGTATGCTAGTAGAAGAGGAAAGTAGTTGTCAGTCTTGCCTGCTGTGAACCCTGAGACCTACAATAATGACCAGCGTGGCAAGGCATGCCTGCTGGTGCAATAGTGGCACAAACAGCAGAGAAGTAACCACCACTTTCTCACTCGGACTGAAGTCCCTCCCACTCCATTATGTGAAGCCCACGCTGGCATCATCGTCAGGCTGAGCAACTCTGGCTACACAGGCCATAGGCCTAGGGGAGAACCTCCTACTATTCTGCTAAATGGACAGAGTATTAAACTGACTCCTAATGACTTCTTACACCTATAGATTTACGCATCTCTCAGCTCTCCTCTGAGAAGCTTCTAGTTGAAGTAGATGGTGATTAACACAGAGACCTGCAGCTAGCTGTTGTGGAATGTTCATCCCTAAACGAAACGTAAGTATCATACCCTGTCTCAAGGCTCAGAGGTCATGGTGGAATAAGGGGTAGAGAGACTGTAGGAGACAGAGGTAGGGAACAAATATGAGAAAACAGTGTTCTCTGGACACAAGAGGACAGTTGCACACATGAACTTAAACTGGCTATGACAGTGTGCATACGCCCTGTGCAAGCTCAAGCCAGACCAAATCCTAGCAAGGAGAGAGGAGTTTGACATGAAGTCCCATTCCGAAGCTAAGGAGCTGCTGGCAATTGATAGCTGCTCAAAGGGGGAGAACTGGTTTTCTTTAAGAGTGACCACAGGGGACATAAAGTTGGTTTACTGAAGAATTAATCTAATTAATCTTATCAATAAAAAATCAGGAGTCAGATATTGGGGTAAAAACTTGAAAGATCAGAGAAGCAGGGGAGCAGCCACAGTTGCTTCCTACCTCTGCGGTTCCTCCATCCAAAAGGACTGAGATCCTCTCTCCACCCCACCTTATCACTTCCTATCTCCTCTCTGTCTACAATCCTCCAAACCTCTATGGTTAATTTTGGTCAGCTAGTGGCTAGCCCTGCCCTCTGACTCCAAGCAAGATTTGTCAGAACACAATCAAAATATCATACAACATTTCCCCCTTTTTGTCTAAATAAAATGTGAGGGTTTGGTTTTTTTTTTTTAAGATTTATTTATTATGTATATAGTGTTCTGCCTGCAGGCCAGAAGAGGGCACCAGATCTCATTACAGATGGTTGTGAGCCATCATGTGGTTGCTGGGAATTGAACTCAGGACCTCTGGAAGAGCAGTCAGTGCTCTTAACCTCTGAGCCATCCCTCCAGCCCAAAGTTGTTTTGTTTTGTTTTCAAAGACAGGGTTTCTCTGTGTTGTTTTGGTGCCTGTCCTGGATCTCGCTCTGTAGACCAGGCTGGCCTTGAACTCACGGAGATCCGTCTGGCTCTGCCTCCCGAGTGCTGGGATTAAAGGCATGCGCTACCACCACCCAGCTAAAAGTGAAGGTTTTAACTAACTAAGTAAAACTATATATAATAAGTACAATAACTATATAAATATATACAGGCAATAATTACATTAACAATGTCCAGTCCATTTGCAATTGACAAATTCAGAGAAAAATACTCCATTATCTATCCTAACTTGGTAAGTCCAAAGTGTGGTACCTAATTCACTTTCTATCCTAACTTGTATTATCAACCCCAAACTATGCTTTTGTCTTTCAACCTTATACACTTTACACTTCTTTTGTGAGTTTCTTTTCTGAATTTTGTAACAAGGAAAACTATAACTATAGAGCAGCAAGATGGGAAAGCTTCTGTTTACAGTTGGGTAGGGAAGTGGGGGGGTGGATCTGGGAGCAGATGGGTGAGGGCTGAATATGGTCAAAAGTCAGCTCATTGTACAAAATTCTCAAATAACTTGAAAAATACTTCAAGTAGAAAAGAAGTCCCTTCATATTAATACAGTGTGTAAATTATAAATAAAATGTATAAAGTGAATTATCTTTTAGATAGACAGGGAGGGAGGGGAAAAGGAAGGGAGAGAGAGAGAAAGGGGGGGGCAGTGCAGAATATTTTCATTTGCCTACAAGTTCTACCATACTCACCTTTGTATAACAAGGCTGCTATTCAAGTTTAAGCAGACAACCTGAAGGTACTGAATTTAAATGGACTCAACCTTATTCTGCTCAAACTCATGCATTATCTGTTTCTTCTCCAACCCAATAAAGGGCAGAAGCTTTGCTTCTTCGGGGTGCAGACCCACGGCCGTTTGGCAGCATCAGGATTCCTGGCACAGTTTTCAGCAGAACTATACTTCCCATAGGTCAACAAGCCTTGTCTTATCCACACGAAGTTCTTCTGAAAATGAAGCCCCTCTCTGAACCATGCGGCAGAGAGACGTACACATGCTAGTCCACTAAGTGGTCCCAAATCAGACCTGCAGCCACTTTGCTAATGTGTATGCCTCACCCTGGCGGGGACCTGCAGACCGCAGTCCTTAAGGAATGTTGACCGAGTAACTAAAACATGAGCATGCTCACTGCAGCAGCACCGTGCAAACACAGCTGACTGACAGACTCGGAGCAGCAAGGGCTGCCATTGGCCGGAATACCTACTTCAGCAGCTCCTTCTCTCGCATTTCCAGCTGCAGCATGATGGCGCTCAGCTCCATGTACAGATTGTTGGCCCGCTCAAGCTTTCGCTCATAGTGCTCCCGGATGTCCAGGGCATGCCTGTCAATGGAAACACAGGATGAGCCAGGCCAAGGAGACCCAAGATTGGCTCTAATGAAACATGCAAAGCCCCGGGGGTTTCTATTTTAAAATTTTCTTAACCCAGTGATTCAAACAAAGAGCGGGGGGGATGGAAAGTCTGAGCTCTGTGTTTTATCCTGAGGGCCCCTCCAGCCACACAGAGAGCCAGGCGGGCCATCGACAAAGTAAGAGTACAGTCTGTGTGCACTTTATAGCCTTAATTTTTGTACACTGGCACAATCTTGATACAATATAATATAGTCACATATTAATGGGCATAATTTAAAGTTAACACCATGATCATATGCTTATCCACAGCAGTGATCTTATCTGGGTTGGTGTGGCCTCAGTGTTCCCCCTCAGATTCAAACGTAAACCTTCACCCATAAGGTGACAGTATTGGAGGCGGCGGCAGGGAGGTCTTAGAGGGAGCCTTCTGTTTCTCCACCGTGTGAGGGCACATGCGGGTGCCATGATAGCGTGAATGGGTCTGCACTAGACACTGAATTCGCTGGTGCTTTGGGGTTAAACTGCTCTGCCCCCAGAACCATGAGCAGTTTCTTCTGTTTATAAATTGCTAAATCTAAGGCATTTTGTCACAGAGGCCTAACTGCCTAATACCATAGTTATGCTGACTATGCCCCCTTAGTAGGTCTTGAGGCTGGGAACTGGAGCTTATAAATTCCTGGCCTCCAATGGCACCAAGAACAGTGAAAGTGCTCTAAGAATCTGTGTTCAGGGCTAGCAAGATGGCTTAGTGGTTAAGGACACTGGCTGCTCTTCCAGAGGACCTGGGTTCAATTCCCAGCACCCACATGGCAGTTCACAACTGTCTGTAACTCCAGTTCCAGGGGATCTGACACCTTCATACAGACATACTGTGATCAAAATACCAATGCACATAAAATAAGAATAAATAAATCTTTAAAAAAAAATAAAAAAAAGGAATCTGTGTTCAGAGGACCATGAAGGAGGGACACAGAGTTGAGAGGAGAGGGTAAGAAGACAAGTGACGGTAGCGGTGTGTGCGTGGTGTGCACACGCCATGGTGTGTGTGTGTGTGTGTGTGTGTGTGTGAAGTGTGTTCCTCACCTAACTGTGCTGGAGGCCCTCAGTTTACCTCTACACTGCACGGCCCAGGCTGGCTGGCCCACAAGCTTCTGGGGAGTCTCCTGGCATTGCCTCCCATCCTGCCCCAGGAGCTGTCAGATCATAGCTGCCATGCCCCGATTTCGAACTCAGATCCTCATACTCCTGTGCAAGACCTTTACTCACGGAACCATCTCTCTAACCACATGGTCTCTTTTTATTACTCAAATGTTATTTTTTTCCCCTGATCATCGGAATCTAGTTTATTTTGAAACAGAACCATAATGGCCCAGATCCTGAAGACTGGGAGGGGCTGTTGCCATAGCCGCCCTGTTCTTAGGTCCTTCTCCAGCATGCCTGCTGGTCTAAGTACTTTATGTTAGTTATTTTTAACTGGTACAAAAGCTGTACATATTTACAGGGTACCAAGTGATATTTTGATACCTGTATTTGTTGTATAGTGTTCAAATCAGGGTAACCAGGGTAGGAGAGATGGTTCAGCTGTTAAGTGCATGTACTGCTCTTCCAGAGGACCAGAGTTCAATTCCCAGCACCCATATCAGGTGGCTCAACAACCACTTACAAATCCAGTTCCAGGGGACCTGACCCCCTGGCCTCTGTGGGTATCTGTACTCATGTGTTCATACCACACACAGACACACACATATAATTTATTTATTTATTTATTTTTGGTTTTTTGAGACAGAGTTTTTCTGTGTAGCTTTGGAGCCTTTCCTGGAACTCACTCTGTAGGCCAGGCTGGCCTCGAACTCACAGAGATCTATCTGCCTCTGCCTCCCGAGTGCTGGGATTAAAGGCGAGCACCACCACCGCCCAGCTCACACATATAATTTAAAATGAGAAATTAATGAAAAAAAATCAGTGTAATTATGACAGTCTCCTCCAACAATGATCATTTCTTTATGTTGGAAACATTACAAATCTTTTCTTCTAGCTTCTTTAATTAAGAAAAAAAAAATCCCAAAGTTAGGTGTGGTGGTGCAGTGCAGGCCTACAATCCCGGTACCCCAGGAGGCAGAGGAAGGCAGGTCTCTGTGATTTCTAGGCTAGCTTGATCTACAAACTAAGATCCCATTCAGCAAGGACCACAGAGTGAGACCTTGACTCAAGCAAGCAATTGAGCAGTCCAGTACACTGTTGTTACCCGCCACTACCCCAGTGTGCACAGAATTGGAGAACTTCTTTCTGTCTAATTATAGCAGCATCCATTAGCCAGCTTCCCCACCCCGCCCTCTGCACATCCTGTAGTAAGCACCACGCTGTTCCTGCTTCAGCCTTTTCAGGTTCCCCAGGAGGGCTAAGTCAGTAATGATGGAAAGCTGGAAAGTGAGGGGAAAGACTTGGGGAGACTGAGGTGGGATTCACCGGGGTGAGAACAGGGGTGGGGGAGGCTGACCTGAGCTCTTCCCTACGCCGGCGGATCAGTTCCTCGTCCAGCCGGTGGATACAGGCCCCTTCACTCTTGATCTTCTCAAAGTGCTTTTTCACTTCTTCTCGCCATTCAGCCTGAGTGAGGAAAGTTCAGCTTTGTAAACACTGTAGTCTCCTTCCCTGCTGTGTCCATGGGACCACGTTAAAGACATTCCCTCCCGTGCCTCTCCATGCTTCCCGCAAACTTCCTACAGGAGTTTATTCAGGGTACGTGTTCAAGAAGCGCTCAGGAATCAGTCACAAACCATCTCCCACTTCTGTAGCTGCAAGCCGCACGCTCGGTCCTGAACACAGTGCTTTCTCTTTGACAGTTCCCGCAGCAGTGGCCACCAGAAACAGCACAGGGCACAGCAATCAGTCACTTCTGGGACAAAAGTGCTCAGCTGACGGCAAGGTAGTATGGAGGCAGAAAGAAAGCCCTGACAACTGTGTTTAACATGTTTGTGAGGTTCTGAGTATCTCCACATCCGCTACCACATCGGCTTTGCTTAGGAAAGAAGAAGAGATGGAGCAGAATATCCCAGAGTACATGGGCAGAGCAGTACCCTGCACAGGAATGCGGGCTGAGGTGGGGGGGGGAGGGAGAGGGGGGAAACAATGTAGGAGTCTCACAAGATCACTGAGCCAAGGGACGATGTCTACTACATGATTCAGGTTGACCAAAGCTACTTCCACTTTGCAAACACTCAGTGGTTTTAATAGGTGAGATGTGTTTTTGTTTTGTTTTTATTGTTTGTTTTTGTTTTTGTTGTTTGGTCTTCTTAAAATCACTTAAAAAAGTTAAGGAAGGGGCTGAATTTCACATTTGGGTCAGCAACAGGACAACCACACAATGACAGAATTTGGGAATAAAGAATTGTAGGGAGGGAGATCCAGAGTGGCTATGAAGTTACACCTCTGCTGTGAGCTCACAGAGTGAGAAAGGACACTGTGCCCTCCATGGGACACAATTTCCAAGTCAACCCCAGAAGCTGACAAACTCCTGCTGGGTCAATAGGCCAGCTGAATAAAATCTCCACTTAGCTGTTTTCTGAAAACTGATGTGTGGACTACTATCACAAGAGCCCAACAAGGAGACTTCTCCGTGGGCTGGAAGTATAACCGGGTGTCTCTAACAATGTGCATTCTCCCAGGACTGCTCCTCCACCTTGAGACACATACTAAGAGACAAACCTCTGCATCATGTGCAACTTGCAGTGGGGCTTTGAATTTCTGAGGAGGCGCCAGCCATGCTGCCTCTTATAGCGCTGGCCCATCTGCACCCCCACCGGCAGTCCGACAGGTTCTGATTTCCCCACACCACCACTAACACTTGTCTTTAACGCTCCTGATCATGGCAATCCCATTTCTCAGCATCCATCCAAAAGAACTGAAATCAAGATCTTGACAAGGGATTAGTATCCCAGCTCACTGCACTATCCCTGTCAGCACTCTTGACTGACAGTTGTGACTAGGAGCCATCAGTGATGGACAGTTGATGCTGAGGGCATCTTATCAGCAGGTGAGAGGAGGCAAGGTCACTGCTACAATAAGAGCAGAACCGTGTGTGTGTGTCAAACACCCAGTAATTCCCCATGGAGCAGCATAGTGACAAAATACAATCAGCCTCCATCTTATTAATCTTAGGAGTTCATCAGAGGAAGCATTGAGAAGGTAACAAGCCAACTCAGGCTGAGTTCTTAGCTCCCTGGTAGGTAAACAATAGCACGTTACAAGCCAACAGTGCACAGGGTACCCGTGCTCCTGTTCTTCACTAGTCCTTCACAGAGACTCCTTAAGTATGGGAAGAACGCCATTCCCCATTATTTAGGTGAGTGGGTGGGGGTCACACAGGGTCAGGGCAGGGTTTAGGGTCAAGGCTCACAGCCTTCCTCACCCTTCACAAGCAGTTCACAAATACTTCATTATCATTAGCCAGATATGGTCTCAATTTCAGACCAAGACATATCAATTTATAAATAGTTGAAAAATTATTGCAACTAGCAAGGAGGTATTACATATTGCAAACAATTTTTAAGCAGTTGAAAAATTATTGCAACTAGCAAAAATTGTTGCAACAAGCAGACCAGGAGCTATTGAGGGAGAAATGACATTTTGGGTCTGGAGAAAACCTTGGAGGGATTAATGAACAGAACAGACATTACTGTACTCTGAACTCTGTGTTCTCACACCCTGAGAGTCCCAAGGTAAAGGGATGAGGTGGAGCTTTGAGGAGGTGATAGGTCAGGAGGGTGTCTGTGTTTCAGTGTGGGTAAGTATCCCTGGGAAGCTGCTGCAAGCCGCAAAAATGTATGAAGTAGGATTTCAGCTGATTGTGACAAGCTAATACCTGGAAGAAGCCAAGGGCCTTCCAGAAGTCAAGCTGAGGCTCAAGGAGTCTTGGTGACATTGGCTTTTGATTATTAGCTGTTTCCTGCTATGAATTTTTCATGTGCTATTGTAGCTTTTCCATCATTCTTTGGGCACAATTTCCCTTCTACTAATGGAATATTTAGATAACCTTCTGAGCAGTAACGCAGCCAGGATCCCTAATTTCAGGCAATTGTCATTAGCAGCATCTGGCCAGGACCATACCTGGACAGACGAAAGTATCTTATCAGAGATACCTCTATACTCTCCAAGAACAGACTTAAAAACCCACACTATCTGTTTGAGAAGGCCTGGTGTATGTGCTAATTAAGCTTAACCTTCTCCTTTCCAAAGTCTTAGCTCTAGTTTTAGATCCACCCTTAACAATTAACTCAGAACTAAAGGGTTCCAACTTACAGGTACATTGAGCTGTGATGGAAGTTGCCTAGCCAAGTTGCCTAGCAACTGAGCATACTTGCCAGAAATGGCAGGAGCAGAGATAGCTTGGAGAGATAAGGGTCAAAGGGATAAAAGGCAGTTTTATTTTCAGAGAGAGAAGAGATGGAGAAAAGAAAAGAGAACGGAAGAACTAGCTGGGTAAGAACTGGAGAGGAATGTACTGAGATGGGGAAGAACTAGATTGAAGGGCTAGAAGAGAGGACTAGAGGAACGAGATGGAAGATGAGGAAGAGCCAGATGGGGAAGAACAAGATGAGGAAGAGCCAGCTGAGAGAGGAGCTAAGATGGGAAAGAACTAGATGGATGAGAACCTAGATGGGGTGGAACTAAGATGAGAGAATTAAGATAGAACTTAGAGGGGACAGCAGATAAATGTAGAGAGAAATGAGGCAAGAAAGAAACTAGGCATGAGAACAGAACTGAAGCTGTGCAGAGAGAGAACTGACTCAAAAGAATAAAGTATATGGACTAAAAAGTTTTGTATACGTAGATTCATTTCATATAATCAAAGATTAGATTAACAGCTGGTCGTAGATTCTTCCCGGACCCTGGGAGAGGACTATTGAGGGGCAGGACCCCCATAGTCCTCGATAGGAAGCAGGCTGGGACTTGACTGCCCTTCGCCATGAAGAAAGACCACAGAGAAAGAATGTCACCCGTGAAGCAGGACGTGTTCTTCTGACGTCCCACATCTGCTGGGGACTTGGACTTGTCGTGGGCTTCCTAGCCTCAGACTGTAGGTAATAAACTGGTATTGCTGACAAGCCACCCAGGGATAGTCATTTAACCTGGCAGCCCACCTTAAAGAGGATGCCCGACATACCACTCTCCTCTCCTCCCCTGACCTATTCTCTCCTCTCCTGGCCCCAAAAGAACCTCTAGCGAGGTCAGCACTTCATCTTGACCATTGACCCAATAATGAAAGTGAGCTGGCCCACTGGGGTAGTGACTGGAGGTCCTTGGCTGCTCTGCACAGTGCTCTGCATATGGGAGGTTTTCAGGAAAGTTAACATTGGCTTGAGAGCACTGAAATAAAATCTTCTAAAAAATAATTTATTTATTTTTATATATGTGCATTGGTGTTTTGCCTACATGTGTGTCTGTGTGAGGGTGCCATGTGGGTGCTAGGAACTGAACCCAGGTCCTCTGGAAGAGCAGCCAGTGCTCTTAACCACTGAGCCATCTCTCCAGCCTCTCTTGAAGTAAAATCTTAGAAAATGACATTTTCCAAACATATATATTGTTAAATTGACCATTTCAGTGGCTTTTGACTTAGTGCTTCCACCAAAATTAGCTTTTCAAAGTTGGGATACAAGATAGTTTGCCAGTAAAGGGAGCAAAGCTGTCTGCAACCATATCCTACATTGGAAAGATTTCCCAGAGAGCACTTGCTGTTACTCTTGTTTCACAAAAATAAATACATAAAAATAAATCACATCTTTGCTGACATCAGTGACAGTCCTAAAGAGTTTCTGACACTGTGCCTCATGTCTGTGTTTGAAGACTGTGCTTCCATGAGAGTCCATCTGAGTGCATAGCAAGAAAAACACAGGAGTGCCATGAATATGCCTCCTTTATTCTCAAGGTTAATTTAAACTCTGTGTGTGTGTGTGTGTGTGTGTGTGTGTGTGTGTGTGTGTGTGTGTGTGTGTATGTGTGTGTGTGTGTGTGTCTGTGTTGTGTGTCTGTGTGTCTGTGTTGTGTGTATATGTGTGTGTGTGTGTGTGTGTGTGTCTGTGTTGTGTGTATGTGTGTGTGTGTGTGTGTGTGTGTGTGTGTGTGTGTGTGTCTGAGTATGTGTACAGGTGAGCAGATGCCCATGGCAGCCAGAAGAGGACATTAGAATCCCTGGAGCTGGAGTGACAGGTGGTTGTGAGCCCCTGGATATAGGTACTGGGATCTGAACTCAGGTCCTCTGGAAGAGCAGCAAGTGCTCTTAGCTGCTGAGCCATCTCCAGCCTCAACACTGCAGCTTTTAAACTAAGGCCTTTAATCCACTTGGGATTGATTTTTGTGCAGGGTGAGAGATGTGGCTCTAACTTCATTCTTCTGCAGATGGACATCCAGCTTTGCCAACACTGTCTGTTGACTGGATCCACCCCCACCCCACCCCCAGTGTATCGATGCTTTTGTCAGAGATGAAGCTGCCTTTTATTTCCGATCCAAGCCTACATGTCTGTCTCTGTGCCAGTGCCAGCAGGCGTTCACCACTATGGGCTCTTGGTGTACTCTGAGGCCGGGTACCACAGTGCCTCCAGCACCATTCT